TTCCAACCCGCCTTTTATATCCTTGGAGAGCATGTCATTTACTAAAATCAGTCTTATTTGACCATAATATTCTGCTTATAAAACTTGTAAACTTTGGTTTCACTCCTAAATTGTGTACAATTGTGAAGTGACAGCATCACATTATTGGTGGGGATGATTAGACAAATTTTGGTTAGCGTTTTACCATCTACGTGATATTCCTAATATAAGTGCAAAATTTGACAACAATCGGCCCAGTACTTTCGGAGATTATGGGTATAATAAAAATCCGGGATGGGAGACCTTCAAACGTCGAGAAAACGTAAAAGTAGAGAGTCAGCCGACGGACTCGATTACAATACTTCCCGAGCGTAAGCAAAATATAGGGCCCGCCCACCCACCCTCTCAATTGTGATGAATTTTTCATTCATAGTCAGACCGAGGTATGGACATATTTACAAAATCCATATTTACCTACAAAAATTTACCATTTTGATGATCTTTTAAGTTTCTTGTTGTGAAAAGAAGACTTCGTATATTTAAAAAAAAAAAAATTTTAGGATGTCGTCATCAATTTTTTGGGATGAATAAACATATATTTGATGCTTGCAATAACTTTAAAACGTCTGCAAGATTTCAAAGTATTCAGTTTTGCAGATTCAAAATTAAATTGCAAAAAGTTTTATAATTTTGATTTTTTTTTCCAAAAATCTGAACGTTTCGGGTAAAAACTCAACACGACTTCATAAACTACATGTGTAGGACTATGTTATTTTGTATAATTTAAAACCCATTTACTATGTACAATTTTGAAACGTCGAGTAAACATAAAAGTGGTCATTCGTCCGATGGACTCGGTTACAATATTTCCTTCGCTTACGCTCGGACAGTAAAAACGAAAAACTAAAAAATTTAAAATTGAAAAACTCAAAAACTGAAGACTGACAGCTTGAAAAATCCAAAAACTGAAAAAATTCACATTAGAAAAAAAGAAAAATGATAGAATCCGAACAGTGAAAAGCGAAAAATTGAAAAAATAAATAAAACAAAAACCGAAACGAAAATTGTAATTAGAAAAATGGAAGAACTGAAAAACTGAAAATTCATGAAATTGCTAATTGAAAAATTGCAAAATCTAAAAATTGAAAATTCAGTTAAAATTAGATTCGTATTATTTATAAATAAAAATTCATCTTCTGTTCTTCAGACCCAATAAGAATGAATCATGAAATTGCAATAGGGATGGGTGGCCGGGGCCACTTTTTAGTTTGATTTAATCTTGGATTCTACAATTTGTCAAAATAAGTAGGTGGAATAGAGAAAAGAGCTGGGAAGGGCTGAGTTTAACTTTTTTCCAAAGAGTGATAAGCAAGTAGTAGCCCCGCCCACCTTCCCCTTCTTCATTTCAATGACTACTCTTAATATTGTTCAGTCTTATCTTAGCAAGTACTAGCCCCACCCACCCGCCCTTTATTTTCTTAGAGGGTATATCAATTGGCAAAATCAGTCTTCTCTTGGAAAGTACTAGGTCTTTTCAAGTTTTTTTCTCATGAAAAAGATGGTGACCATTTTGAACGTAATGAACGTATGTTTTAAATTTCTTGTTGTGAAAAGAAGGCTACGTATATTAAGAAAATAAGGCAAAATATAAGCCCCGCCCACCCACCCTATCGCAATTGTGATGAATTTTTCATTCGTTGTTAGACCGAGGGGCGGAGCGTAATTGCAAAATCCATATTTTCTTAAAAAATTACTATTTTAAATAAGTTTCTTGTTGGTCGAAAGTTGTGCAATTTCAAAACACCTGCAAGATTTCAAAGTATTCAGTTTTCCAATTCTTGATTTAATCAATAAAATAAGTTGACTCGGTCATTAATTTTCTTGAGATACCCTGTATAAGCAGATCTAAAAAATATTAATACACAGACAAATCACAAGTTTAGATATATCATATTTCACTCATTTAAGATTGGATTTATTCGTCAAAATTTTGAGGTGACGTCATCATTTTTTTTAGGGGGATGAGCAAATACATTTTAATAAAAAATTTACAATGGTTGTGATGACTTTAAAAGATCTCTAAGATTTAGTTCTTGATTAAATCAGTAAACTAATTCACGCATTCATTATTTCTTTTTAAGTCACCCTGTATATGCAAATCCAATAAATATGAATGGAATGGTAAATTACAAGAAGAGACTCATCATATTTTGTACATTTTAGGTAGGCAAAATTTTGAGCTGAATTCAACAATTTTTTGGAGGGGATAAGTGAATATGTTTTGATTAAAAATTTATCATGCCATTCAAAATTAAATTGCAAAATGTTGTTTTATAATTTTTATTTTTTTCAAAAACTGGAAGTTTCGGGTAAAAACTCAACACGGAGTCATAAACCATGTATATACCTATAGAACTTTGTTATTTTATACAATTTAAAACCTGTTTACTATGTACAATTGTGGAGTGACGTCATCACGTTATTGGTGGGGATCATTAGACAAATTTAATGATATTCCTAATATAAATACAAAATTTGACAACAATCGGCCTAGTACTTTCGGAGATTTTGAAAGGTCGAGAAAACGTAAAAGTAAAGACTCAGCAGACGGACTCGATTACAATACTTATCGAGCGTAAGCAAGATATAAGGCCCGCCCACCCACCCTGTCTCAATCGTGATGAATTTTCCATTGGTTCTCAGACTGAGGGATGAAACATAATTGCAAAATCCATATTTATCTACAAAAATTTACCATTTTGATGATGTTTTAAGTTTCTTGTTGTGAAAAGAAGACTTCGTATATTAAGAAAAAAATTTTAAGATGTCGTCATCAATTTTTTGGGGTGAATAAACATATATTTTGATTAACAATTTACCATGCTTGCAATAACTTTAAAACGTCTGCAAGACTTCAGAGTATTCAGTTTTGCAGACTCAAAATTAAATTGCAAAATGTTTTATAATTTTGACTTTTTTTTCAAAAATCTGAACGTTTCGGGTAAAAACTCAACACGACTTCATAAACTACATGTGTAGGACTATGTTATTTTATACAATTTAAAACCTGTTTACTTCGTACAATTTTGAAGTGACGTCATCACATTATTGGTGGGGATAATTAGACAAGTTTTGGTTACCGTTTTACCATCTACATGATATTTTTAATATAAATACAAAATTTGACCACAATCGGCCCAGTACTTTCGGAGATTATCTGTCTTAATAAAAATCCGGGACGGCAGACAGATAGACAGACGGAAACGGAGACTACTTTTTCGTACTGCAGGGTCATGAAACGTCGAGAAAACATAAAAGTGTCCATTCGTCGGATGGACTCGATTACAATACTTCCTTCGCTTACGCTCGGGAAGTAAAAACGAAAAACTGAAGACTGAAACCTTGAAAAATTCAAAAACTGAAAAAATTCACATTGAAAAAAATAGAATCCGAACAGTGAAAAGCAAAAAATTGAAAAAATAAATAAAATCAGAACCAAAATGAAGAATTGAAAAATTGAAAACTCGTGAAATTGCTAATTGAAAAATTGCAAAATCTAAAAATTGAAAATTCAGTAAAAATTAAATTTTATTACTCCTTAAAAAATGTAATCGTAGATTCTATTATTTATCAATATAAAATTCATCTTTTGTTCTTAAGACCCAATAGGAATGAATGATCAAAATGCAATAGGGGTGGGTGGGCGGGGCCAATTTTTAATTTGAGTTAATCTTACATTCTACAATTTATCAAAATAAGTCGGTGAAATAGAGAAAAGAGGTCAAAGAGTCTTATATGCAAGCAGTAGCCCCATTTTCTTAGAGTAGGTCATTTGCCGTAATCAGTCTTACCATGGGTAAATACTAGCCCCGCCCACCCACCCTTTGTCTTAGAGGGTATGTCCTTTGGCAAAACCAGTTCTATCTGTTCTATCAGTTTTATCTCAGCAAGTATTCGCTCCGCCAACCCACCTTTTATATCCTTAAGAGAGTAGGTCATTTACTAAAATCAGTCTTATTTTTATACAGCCTTTACAAAGGGCGCTGATCAAATTGACCATAATATTTCTAAATTTTTAAACCTTTTTCGATCTTATCTTCACTGTAAGCTCAGGAGTTCGTCAAGGGTCAATATTAGGGCCACTCCTTGTCAATTTGTATATCCATAAAATCGTTGTGAAAACACTATAATATGAGTGTATTTGATATATTTTTTGTGTGGGTTGTTTTCGACAGATGACAGCTTAATTTTTTAAAATGGTACTGTATATATATATATTTTTTTCGATCTAACAAGTTTTTATCTCATTATGAAAAAGGTAGCTACCATTTTGAACGTAGTGAACGTATGTTTTAAATTTCTTGTTGTGAAAAGAAGGCTACCATTTAGAAAAAAAAAGGCAAAATATAAGTCCCGCCCACCCGCCCTGTCTCAATTGTGATGAATTTTTCATTCGTTGTCAGACCGAGGGGCGGAGCGTAACTGCAAAATCCATATTTCCCTAGAAAATTTACCAGATTGAACATGTTTGAAGTTTCTTGTTGTGAAAAGAAGATTGTATTTTAAGCTTTTCCAGATTTCTAATATTTCTGGTAAGTAAATAATATGAAAATCGACATAAATTTATAGTTGGTATTATTTTTAGGTAAACATGGGCATAACTTTTCATGAAATTAGTCACCAAAACTGATCATGTTTAACTCGTATCTAAAACTTTATAAATAAAGATTATTTTATTGTGTGACTTTAAGTTCATTTGGAACAAACTAAATTACATCCTCTCCCTGTCCAGAAAAATCGTGAATAGAATTTAATTTAATTTTTATTATCTGGAAATGGCATACGGTGCGCAGGCGCGTAGCGATACATGATTGAACACTGTATAGGTAGAAATTTCTCGGACATCCTGTTTTTTGAATATAGGTATTACAACTGAACTGATTTGTAAATGTAAAAGAATTTTTACATTACATTATTGTACTTTTTTTTTTAAATCGACAAATTTGTAATGTGAGTTTGACACGACAGTGCTGCCAACCATAGAAATCGTTGTAATTTGACATGACATAACCAAAAAAGTGTATTCAAGTGCCGAGCAATGGCTTGTTTATCCAGAATTATTAATTTAAATCGTCTAAAACGTAAGCAACCGTAAAAAATTGACACAACGCATTTAATTTTTAAATTTTAGTAATAACACCATTTGCTCGAAACCTAACCTCAAACAGTGCGCCGGTGGTGTCTTCACTACCCCCCGTAATTTTAACCAACAAACATTTAGAACAAATCCCCGCCGTCAACAATCCTTGGATATGGCAAATTAATAACAAAATAGAGTCCCCAATAATAAATAAATTACAAATAGATTTTCCAAATGGGCTCAAATACATCCCTCCACTCCAAGACCCTAAAGAAAACAAAGAGCTCGAACTACCCCCAACCCCCAATGCAGAAATTACTAAACACGCAGTCCGAATGATCGTCATAAGGCGACGAAAAATGAAAAGGCACAAATTGAGAAAACTACGAAAACGCATGAAGTTTGAATGGGCTAAAGTATACACAAGCAAATTTGACCTCACTCAAGTAACGTTTTGATTTGTAGAGACGTCAGCGGCGGGAGTGGAACAAAGAAAAGGCATTTCAAGCCAAACTAATCCAGCAATGTAAACAAGGAGAGGCTTTTGTGGCCGAAAAATACGTAGAAGAAAGATTATCAAAACTAGCGGAACTAACAAAAGCAAAAAATCGTAAAAAAGGAATGACCAATCGCGAGTTGTAGTGTTTATTTCAAACATGGCGTGAATAAAGGAATCACACTGGGGTTCATTTTCATGGTGTGGACCAAGTCTGTTATACGTTCATTAGTAAACTGAGTGACAGTTTTCTTGTATTCTTTCATTTTACGCGAACCGGCGATTCGTGCGGCCGTGACAGGCCGTGGTTTCGGCGGACTCACAGGCTTTTGTGGCCAAACGAATTTTTTCAAAGAAGGCGCTTTTGACCCTGTAAGGAAATGCGTAATAATGTTTTAATTTGAAAGATAATTTTTACGTGGAGTTGATCTGACTGTTTCGTCCATTCGGTGGGACGTGGGTGGCTGAAGTGGTTGGATGATATGAGTTTTTGAAACCTCAGTACTGAATGTCAGTTGTGACTTCGGTCTTCCCGTTATTTCCGTCAGCTCCTTATCTTTAACACTGGCGAAATTTAACGTAGATTTAATAATTTCGTAGGAATCGCAAGCGAGCACTATTTTCGACGTAGCTTTATTGTCTAAGCTTTTTACGCTACAGATGGTGTTGGTGTCGTCTAAGTTTTCGTTTTTCTTTTCCGTCACTTTCGTGTCATGTTCGTCATCTATCTCATGCATGTGTTCTACAGCCACATATTCCTTGACATACTCCTCGTTTGCGAATTTGTCAATCTCTTCCATTGCCATTCTCTCAATCCGTTGCAATGACTTTTTCTCCATCATGGAAAATGTCAAAGTTATAGAGTCTCTCGCCAGACTCAAACGAGACTGAAGAGGAGTCATTTGACGTGGAGCGAATTCATCGGCTTTGTTGATCGTTTTTGGTAACTTCGCTTCGTCCTTGTCTGGGTCTAGCGACACTTTTCGTATTTCTTTTTCCTCTTCATCTGCCAAAGATTGTAGTGTCTTCAATACAGTAGGTAACTTTTCGTCTAGAATTTTCTGATGAACTTTTGATCCCTCAGGCGAAACTGTTTTGAGTTGGATTGACATACTGATGTCACTAGGAGTGTGACCAGAAGGTTGTAGTTGCTCTTTCTTATTAAAATGGACACTGGATTGGTGGGATTTAATTTTTGGCAGGGTGAGGACGCTTCTGAAACGAATAGTTAGACAGTTTTGTTTTTAAAATGTATGTAAAATAAACCGTTTCGTTTCGATCACACTTCTGAATATTTTTAAAAGTTCGTCGACTTCGGGATTCCATAGGGAAAGTTCGCTTTCTGTTTGAATTTCTTGACAAGTGGTAAAATCTTCCCGAACGAATGTTTCTTTATTAAAATAAAAAACAGGCGGAGTGTCTTCAGCGTCGTCAGGATTGTCTGTAGAGTAGGTCGAATATTTCAAGAATTCGTCACTGTCGACGTGCTGACACACTTTTTCGACTTTCCTTTCTTTAGATGTTTTCTTGGTGGTTATTGGAGGCTCCGAATGTAAACAGTAGTCTTCCAACTCGCGCTTGACCAGTTTATACAAATTCATCAAAAATGAACCTCGCGTCGGAGCGCTTTGTAACGCCAAGTACATAAATTTCTGGAACTGCCGCAACACCTCCATCAAGCATCGCTCTTTCAAACAAAGCTCCTTCAAATCCCTGTTCTTAATTTTCGTTAGTTTTCGCACAATTAAGCCCTTTTGGTTTGTAATTAGATGAAGTTGGTGTATTTTCGCCACGAAGTCATCCTCAATTTGGATTTTCTGCGTCTTACATTGCCGCCTCTCTTTACAAAGAAGGTACATCAAGTTGGAAATGTTGTCACAGTACAATTTATGCTTCATCTGAATGATCATTTCCTTGCACTTGATTTTCTCGAAATACAGCGCGAGTTTCTGCTTCGTTTTGAGGTCTCTGCAAAACTCGTCTATTAATAGGAACACACAAAAAAATCGTATCACGTGATGTGGTTGTTGAACATATGTAGTAATTTTTTCTCTTGAATGCGAAGCTTTTCCAAAAATTCCACCGTTATTCGTTCCACGGTGTTTTCGATTTCGTCTTCTAGAGTCGTTTTCCACACTGTATTAAGCGACTCGTACTCAATCTGCATCTGTTCTTCTAGATCTTTCACTTGCTTGAAGCACTCCCATAGAAGCTCGCAGATCTTGTTTTCGTACTTCAGACGAATTTGGTCCATTTCCTCGCCTCGTTTCAGCGCCTCTTGTTCGTGGAAGTTTCGAGCTAAATCGACCTTCTTTGCTTTGAACATCCGGTTTAAGAAGTCTTCGCGCTCCAGGAGCGCTTTCTGTTTTTCAACTTCCATGTCGTGAATGAATTTCGTTTCGACTTCGCCTCCCAGCGCTAATACAAATTTGTCAAGGATTTTACGGAAATGGGTGAATTTTTACCCATGATTCCTTGATGAGTGAGAGCTTGCCTGTGTTTTTGGGTGAAAGGGGGTGCGAGGGCGACTTTTCCGATAAGGAAGTCACTGGGTGACTTCCATGGGGAGAAATCTGCACAAATATCTGTAAATTTTGAATTGGTAGCTTGAAAGGTGATTTTCGGCATAACGATGATATAAATTTAAAAATGACTAAAAAATACCACTTTCGTGTTAATTTGGAACGAACTGTGTCAAATTTTTTGAAATTCGTATTTTAATTTAGTTAGTATTGCCAACCCGGCGGCCATTAAAGTTACTACTGTTGTGTCATTCTCATTTGTCACTCGTTAATCTGTCAAACGACGATGTCATTTGGAGCAATTTCATTAATTAATAATTATTGTTGAAGTCGTAATTTTGTTGTTAATCGAGTGCATTCAGACTCAAGACTGCCACATTTCTAACCTACAAATCAGTAACCATCATGTCATCGAAAAGTAAAAATGGGAATAATCGAAAAGTGGTGGCTTACAGTGACTTAGCAATTAGAAATAACTTGTCTGTAGTCGAGTACTGTCGTACTTCGATGGCAGCCCTGTCAGGGTGTACAGCAGGTCCGTATCAATGTTGCTAAATTTTCATAATCAGTGTGTCCTTTCAGGTGTTTTGGGTCTAACTGGACTCTACGGGGCAGTATTCTACATTTTCGCGGTCACTAGTCTCTGGTTTATGATATTATTCAAAGCCGGATTATCGAATTGGAAAAATTATTTTATTTCTCGAAAAGCGCTACTCACAAACGGATTTTTTGGACAGTTGTTCACGTATATATTGTGCTGGACATTTATTTATGGGATGGTACACGTGTATTAAACAGGGTAAAATTAAAGTCTACGTTATTAAGAGCTGCTAGTTTTAATATTTACTCTTTATCCACAATAAAACTGAAACGTGACGTTACAATGTATTTTTTTTAATTTGTTGGGTTGTACATAACCTTGATTCACAACGAATCGCTTTTATTCGTCATAATTTCGAAAAAATCCGGTCTGAATTTGAACAATTTTTGAGGTACAGGTAACAGGTAGTCGTTGCGTGAGAACTTGTCTGATCTACAGACAGAGCGCACTCAGGCCAATGTCGACTCTAAGCGATTTTTCTATAACTCGTTTCGCCCATATGGTCGGGCTTTACAATGAATAAGTGAACAATATTCTTGAACATCTTAATGTTTCGACTTTTCACTGTTTCCATTCTTCAATTTTTCAGGGTTTTAATTTTTCAATTTTTCGATTTTTTAAGCTTACGATTTTTCGACTTTGCTTTTTTAGTTTTTCGATTTCTCAGTTTTCCAATTTTTTAATTTCTCAATTTTTTACTTTTTTTAGATTTTCAATTTTTCGTGTAACTTTAAATTTTTCAATTTTTGGATCCATTAATTTTTGTCAGTTTTTAAAATTCTAGGTTATTCGCGTTTTCGAGTTTTCAGTTTTTCTATAATTCAATTTTTTTATTTTTCGAATTTTTAAATTTTCGATTTTTTAGTTTTTATTTTCGATATTTTAACTGTCCAATGTTTTAAATTTTAGATTTTTCGATTTCTCGATTTTTTGATTTTTCAGTACTTCAGTATTTCTATTTTTCAAATTTTGACGTTGCTAAATTTTCAGTTTTCCGATTCTTCAATTAATCTATGTTTGATTTTTTTTAATCTGTGTTATAAGTTTTTAAGAATAAAAAAATATATCACGATTAAGATGGGGTGGGTGGGCGGGGTTTATATTTTGACTTTTTTTGTTAATATACGTAGCAGCGTTTGAACAACACGATACTCAAAAACATGTTTTTCATTTCTTGTAACGAATTAAGTATTTTGCAGTTAAGCTCCACCCTCTTGGTTCTCTGCGAATAAAAAAATCATCACAATTGAGATAGGGCGGGTGGGCGGGCTGACATTTTGTCTTTTTGTTTTAATATGTGTAGACTTCTTTTCACAACATGAAACTTAAAACATGTTGAAAATGGAAAATTTGTGTAAGGAAATATCGATTTTGCAATTAGACTCCGTCCCATAATTGCAAAATCCATATTTCCTTGCAAAAATGTACCATTTTAACCATGTTCTAAGTTTTTTGTTGTGAAAAAAAGGCTATGTATATTAAAAATACGCAAAATATAAGCCCCACCCACCCGCCCTGTCTCAATTCTGATGATTTTTTTTTTATTCGTGGTAAGCCGAGGGGCGGAGCTTAATTGTAAAATCCATATTTTTCTACGAGAAATTACCATATGAAATATGTTCTTAAGTAATCGTGTTATACATAGAAAATTAAATTTTTATTTTTTGATGTTTGGATTTCTCGATTTTTCAATTTTGTGATAATGTTTTAAATTTAAGATTTTTCCAATTTTTAATTTTTCAGTGCTTCAATTTTTCAAATTTTGGAGTTGCTAAATTTTCAGTTTTCCGATTTCTCAATTAATCTACATATTTATGATTTTCCCATTTCTCGACTTCTCCAAGTTTCGATTTTCCAGTTCTTCGATTTTTCGACTTTGTTTTTTGGTTTTTCGTTTTCTCAATTTTCTCAATTTTTTGATTTCCCAATTTTTGGATATTTTTTTTCAGTTTTAGAATTGTTCTATTTCATTTATTCTACTTTTCGATCTTTGGACTTTTGGATTTTTCGATTTTTTGTTTTTTGGATTTTCAGTTTTTTATTTTTTAAACTTTAGATTTTTCAATTTTTCGATTGCTTTATAATTCGATTTCTCAATTTTTCAACTTTTCGATATTTTAATTTTTCAAGTTTTGAAATTCTAGTTTTTTGGAGTTCTCGTTTTCACATCCATATTTTAATTTTTTAATTTTCGATTTTTCAATTTTTTGAGATCTCGATTTATCGAGATTCGGATGTTTGGATGTTTTGATTGTTCAATCTTTCGATTTATCAATTTTTCCATTTCTAACTTTTCGATTTTGGCCTATTTCGGTTTCTCAATTTTTGAATTTTTCGACTTTTCGACTGCTCGATTTCTCGTTCTTTTGATTTTTCGATGTTTTTGAATTTTTCGATTTTAATTTTAGGTTTTTGGAATTTTAATTTGTTTGATTTTTTGATGTTTAGATGTCTCCATTTTTCAGTTTTACGATATATTAATTTTCCAATGTTTTAAATTTTAGATTTTTCGACTTTTCGATTTTTCAGTTCTTCAATATTTTTAATTTTTCAAATTTGGACGTTTCTGAATTTTCAGTTCTTCGATTTCTCAATTAATCTATTTTTTGATTTTCCCATTTTTGGACTTCCCAAAGTTTCGATCTTTCAGTTCTTCAATTAATCTTGTATTTTCCAATTTTTCGAGTTCTGGATTTTTCGATTTCTCGACTTTTTACTTTATGGATTTTCAATTTTTCAAATTTTGACGTAGCTAAATTTTCAGTTTTCCGATTTCTCATTTAATGTACATATTTTTGATTTTGTCATTTCTCGACTTCTCCAAGTTTCGATTTTTCAATTCTTCAATACTTCGATTTTTCGACTTTACTTTTTTGACTTTTCGATTTCTCAATTTTCCAATTTTTTAATTTCTCAATTTTTGGATATTTTTTTCAGTTTTGGAATTTTTCAATATTTCATTTCTTCTACCTTTCGATCTTTGGACTTTTGGATTTTGGGTTTTTAATTTTTTAAACTTTAGATTTTTCAATTTTTCGGTTGCTTTATAATTCGATTTCTCAATTTTTCGAGTTTTAGAAAAATCTAGAATTTTAAAAACTAAAAAGCTAATAGTTTTTAAAATTCTAGATTTTTCGATTAGTTTTCAATTCTATATTTTAATTTTTAAGTTTTTGATTTTTCAATTTTTTGATTTATCGAGATTCGGATGTTTCGATGTTTTGATTGTTCAATCTTTCGATTTATCAATTTTCATCTTTAACTGTTAGATTTTTCGATTTTGGCATATTTCGGTTTCTTAATTTTTCAATTTTTCGACTTCTCGACTCCTCGATTTCTCGTTCTTTTGATTTTTCGATTTCTCGATGTCTCAGTTTTTAATTTTTCTGATGTTTTGATTTTACGATGTTGCTTTTTCACTTTTTCGATTTCTAAATTTTAGATTTCGAATTTTTATTTTACGGTATTTTATTTTTTCAATGTTTCAAATTTTTAGATTTTTCAGTTCTTCAATATTTTTTAATTTTTGACGTTTCTTAATTTTTATTTTTCCGATTTCTCAATTAATCTATTTTTTGATTTTCCCATTTCTCGACTTTCCAAAGTTTCGATCTTTCAGTTCTTCAATTTTTCGATTTTTCAGGTTTTTGATTTTTCAATTCTTCGATTTTTTGAGTTTGTGATTTTTCGACTTTACTTTTTTGACTTTTCGATTTCTCATTTTCTTAATTTTTTGATTTCCCAATTTTTGGATATTTTTTTCAGTTTTGGAATTTTCAATATTTCATTCCTTCTACTTTTCGATCTTTGGATTTTCGGATTTTTCGATTTTTTGGATTCTCCGTTTTTTATTTTTTAAACTTTAGATTTTTCAATTTTTCGGTTGTTTTATACTTCGATTTTTCAAATTTTCAACTTTTCGTTATTTTGACTTTTCAGTTTTTAAAATGTTAGGTTTTTCGATTTCTCGAGTTTTCTGTTCTTCTATATTTTAATTTTTCAATTTTCCGAATTTAATTTTAATCTATTTTTTGACATTTTTGGACTTCCCGATGTTTCGATCTTTCAGTTCTTCAGTTCTTTAATTTTTCGATTTTTCAGGTTTTTGATTTTTAAATTGTTGGATTTCGGTTTTTTGACTTTTCGATTTCTCAATTTTCCAATTTTTGGATGTTCAGTGCAATTTCCTGATTTTTCAGTTTCTCTATTCTTCAGTTATTCTTGTATTTTTCAATTTTTCGAGTTCTGGATTTTTCGATTTCTCCACTTTTTACTTTTTGGATTTTCAATTTTTCATTTTTTAAACTTTACATTTTTCAATTTTTCGACTGTTTTATATATACTTCGGTTTCTCAATTTTTCGAGATTAAATTTTAACTTTTTAGTTTTTAAAATTTTAGGTTTTTCGATTTCTTGAGTTTTCAGTTCTTCTGTACTTATTTCAGTTTTTCAATTTTCGGAATTTTTAAATTTTCGATTTTTCAATTGTCCGATTGTTCAATTTCTCGATTTTTAAATTTTAGATTTTCCAATTTTACGATATTTTAATTTTTCAGTTCTTCAATATTTTTTAATTTTTCAAATTTTAATGTGTCTGAATTTCCAGTTTTCCGATTTCTCAATTAATCAATTTTTCGATTTTTCAGGTTTTTGATTTTTAAATTGTTCGATTTCGGTTTTTTGACTTTTCGATTTCTCAATTTCCCAATTTTTGGATGTTTCGTTCAATGTCCTGATTTTTCAGTTTTTCTGTTCTTCAGTTATTCTTGTATTTTTCAATTTTTCGAGTTCTGGATTTTTCGATTTCTCCACTTTTTACTTTTTGGATTTTCAATTTTTCATTCTTAAACTTTACATTTTTCAATTTTTCGACCGTTTTATACTTCGATTTCTCATTTTTTCGAGATTAAATTTTAACTTTTTAGTTTTTAAAATTTTAGGTTTTTCGATTTCTCGAGTTTTCAGTTCTTCTGTACTTATTTCAGCTTTTCAATTTTCGGAATTTTAAAATTTTCGATTTTCCAATTTTTTTTTTTCAATTTTCCAATTTTTCGATGTTTCGATTTTTAAATTTTAGCTTTTTCGATTTTTAATTTCCCGATTTTTCAAGCTTTCGATCTCTCAATTAGGAAACTTTTCATTTTTTTTTTTTAATTTTTCGATTTTTAAAATTTTTTATTCTTCGGTAATTCAATTTTTCGATTATTCGATCATTGAGATCATCGTTATTGCTAAAAATAAAAGTAAAAAATAACTGGTGACTAAAAAATTCTGAACGCTTAGAGTCGACATTGGCCTGAGCGCGTTCCGGTCTGTGAATCAAACAAGTTCTCAAGAGACGAGTTGTAAAGTGTACTTATACTTTATCACGAAAATTGGCGCCAATTTTAAATTCAAGTTGGTGTTTTGATAAAAAATTCGAAATCGTGACCAAATATATTTATTTATGACATGACGTAAACAAGCGCAGTAAACTTGGGTTTTCTTTCATCATGTGAACCAAATCGTTGATCCGTTCCTCGGTAAATTCCTCAACAACTTGTTCTTTTTGCTTCTTAGCACCAGCGACTTTGGCTTTCGCTGACCGTGGCGTAGCTTTCGGCACCACTTTCGTAGCTTTTCTAGGACTCGGAGCAGCTTTTTTGCCACCAGGAGGTGAACGTTTGACCGACTTTTCCAAAGGTTTTTCGTCCTTCTGAGCGTGAAGAGGTTCCTCAGCCTCTGTCGTCGAAACTCGCGGACTAAAAGTTAACTGCGACTTCCTTTTAGCATCTCTTTCAGATGGTTTTTCGCATAAATCCATTTTAGATCTGATTAGTTCGACAGAATCGCACGCGAGTAGGAGTTTGGATGTATGTTTAGCTTGGTTTAAGTCCACAGTACCGCTAGCCTCGTCAGGCTGATCTACACTCCCGGTCAAAGTCGACCTATCTTCTTGTTTTGACAGTTTGTCTTCGTCCGTTTTGGATATCTCGTCTAAAGTTTTCGAAAATCCTAGCAACGATTTTCTTTCTTTTGTGGTAAATGTTAGAATTAGTGAGTCCCTAGCGATCGTGAGACGCGACTGAGTGTTTGGATTTGATGCCATTTGATGTTGAAGTGGATTTGCTGAGTTATCTTTTGACAGCACGTGGGACCTAGGCGGGCTACTCGAACCTTCTCCTAGTGACAATTTTCTAATTTCCCTTTCTTCTTCATACTCTGGCGCGTGGTTTGCAGAAGTTGACGCTTTGGTTTTTGTATGTTGGGCGTTCATTGTCGAAACACGGACTGCAGACTTGGATAATTCAGGCGAAAAAGTTTGTATTTGGGTCGATTCACTACGGTCACTACCTAATATTAATTTTCTTTGATTGTCCAAATGTGAGTCGACTCTGTCAGTTTGACAGGAATTTCTAAAACGACACAATGATACTTAGAAACGAAAACTAATCAAAATAGTACGGTTTTTCGCAAGCTTTTCTAAATATGTTCAAGAGTTCTTCGACATCGGGATTCCATAGTGGGTGGTTTCGGCCGATCTGGCGTCCCGTAGAAAACATATCCCGAAAGTCTTCTCTCACATACATCCCATCTTTGTAGTAAAACGCCGGCAAAACGTCACTACATTCAAATTCTTCTTCAACTGCTAGTGACTGCAAATGTCGCAAATAATCTTCAATGTCTTCGTTAGTATCGAGATCGTGGTCAGCAAGAACTTGTAGTTCTGACTGAGGTTTCACTTCAGTTTGTGTAACTTGTTGAGTTAAGCCATAATCGTCCAGTTCGAACTTTAGTAATTGGTCGATGTTCAATAGAAACTCTGCTTGAGTGGGGACGGCTTTCAAAGCAAAGTATATAAACTTCTGGTACTGGCGCAAAATCTCGACTAGACATTGTTCCCTCACTATAAATTGGCGCTCTCTTTTGATTTTAAGTTTCATCAAATCTTTAATTTCGTTCGACTTTTGCTTCGAAATTGACTTCATTTTTCGCACCCGATTCACATAATGCTTCCGAATTGCGCTCCTTTCGACTTTACATCTTCTCCTTTCTTTGCAAAGAAGGTACATCAGATCGGCCACATTTTGACAGTGTAGTTGGTGTTTCATTTCTTTTATCTTTTCGTTGTATTTTTTCCGCTCGAAATTAATAGCGCATTTTTTCTTGTCTTGGATAGCCCTACATTGATGACGTTTATTACGTTTATTTTGTTAACTTTAACCCAATTTAACCTGATTTGTTTGATATATATCCTGACTAAAATTTGCTCCTGCAGTTTCATCTTGTCCAAAAATTTCCCGGTTACTTTGGCCACAGTTTCATTAATTTCTTGTTGTGCTTGATCCTTCCAAAATATATTTATCGAATCGACTTCTTCCGCCATTTCTTCTTTCAGTCGTTCAATTTGCTCGTAACACTCCGTCACAATTTTGCAGATTTCGGCGTCATAATAATCTTGAATTTTCTTCAACTGTGACCCATATTCTAGTTTCTCTTCTTCACGTAACGCGGCAAGCAAAGCCGCTTTTTCTGTTTCGTAAACACCCATTAAGAACTTCTCGAGTTGCTCTAGCGCTGATTCTTTCGAAAGTCGCCCTTCGTTGAGGAACTTTTGCTCCAGTGCGGGTCCCAGTTCTGTCACCAGGAATTAGTTTTTGAAATTTCACACTACTAGTTTTGTTTTACCTATAATCGCTGGATGTGTTAAAGCGTACATGTGCTTCTCAGTCGGTGATGGCGTCAAAACCACTTTTCCGTTAAGCGAGTCGTTCGGTGCTACCCACAAGTCGCCCTGAGGACCATTCAGATATGGTGCTAACCCATAGTCGGTCCTCAGCTCCGGGTAACATTGATCAAAGAGAAGCGAAGCCAGCGGTAGGCCTGCCATGTCTTTGGTGTCTGAAATTGTCGGCACTTGGAGGGTTTTCATCATTTCTTTTCGCCGGAAGTATTCGGGGCTCCAGCGGGTCTCTAAAACGGAGAAGGCTTTCCCGAGAGGGGTTTATAAGTGAAGTCAAGCAAGTGTTGTTAGGTCGTACCCATTTTAACTACTAATTTCGCGAAATTTCGAAGATAGAATCAAAATCGTCCAAATGACAAAATTTTGAATGACTACTGACAGGGTTGTCACAATTACTACCGTGTTCGAACAATTCCCACCTTCCCCTATGCATTCCATTTTTTGCTTTGTTGGTTCTCCGATTTTACAATTTTTTGAGTTTTAAACTTTTAGTTTTTTAATTTTTCAATTTCGTTTTTTTTTTTTATTTTTCAGCAAAAGAACAAATTTATCTAAACTAAAATATTGGAAAATCGGAAAATTGTACCATTGAAACAAAGAACACAAAAATTTTGAAATGAAAAATGCAAAAAGTTTAAAATGAAAATCGAAAAACTAAAAAATCGAGACACCGAAAAATTGTAAAAACATGGAAAAATCTAAAATAAAACTGCAAAATCGGATAATTGAAAAATTGGAAAAACGAAAAAATAAAAAATCCCGAAATTGAAACATCAAAAAATTGAAAAACGAACAATTTTTGCAATTTTTCTATTTTAAAGTTTTCAAGTTCCTGATTTCCAATTTTAATCAAAATGAAATTTTGCAAAATCCAGTCACTGTAACACCGAAACATTAAAAAATACAACAATTAAAAGTCGAGAAATTGAAAAATCGACCAAATGCAATTTTTCGATATAAAATTTTTCAAATTCACGATTTTTAATTTTCATTTTATCGATTTTTCATTTTTTAGTTGTTCAACAAAGAACACATTTATTCAAACTGAACTTTTGAAAAACTGGAAAATGGTAACACTGAAACATAAAAAAACAAAACAATTAAAAATCCAGTAATTGAAAAATCCACAAAAAGAAATAATTCTCAAATTTTTCGATATAAAATTTTTCAAATTCTCGATTTTTATTTCTTCATTTTCTCGATTTTTCATTTTTTAATTGTTCAACAAGGACAAATTTATTCAATACCGAAATTTTGAATTGAATTGAAAAATCAAAAAATTGGAAAATCGACGAATTGAAAATTGAAACTTGAAATATCGAAAAATTGAAAAATTGAAAAACCGAAAAATGAAAAAATTGAGAAATTGAACAATGGGATAATTGAAAAATTGAAAATTGTGATTAATTAGAAATCGACAAAACGAAGCAATTCTGCAATTTTTCTATATAAAATTTTTTAAATTCACGAATTTAATTTTCATTTTCTCGATTTTTCATTTTTTAGTTGTTCAACAAAGAACAAATTTATTCAAACTGAGCTTTTAAAAAACTGGAAAATTGTAACACTGAAACATAAAAAAGTAAAACAATTAAAAACCCAGTAATTGAAATATCCACAAAAAGAAACAATTCTGCAATTTTTCGATATAAAATTTTTCAAATTCTCGATTTTTATTTCTTCATTTTCTCGATTTGCCATTTTTAAATTGTTCAACAAAAGGACAAATTTATTCAAACCGAAATTTTGAATTGAATTGAAAAATCAAAAAATTGGGAAATCGAAGAATTGAAAAACGAAACTTGAAATATCGAAAAATTTAAAAATTGAAAAATTGAAAAATGAAAAAATTGAGAAGTTGAGCCATGGGATAATTGAAAAATTGAGAATCGTGATTAATTAAAAATCGACAAAACCAAGCAATTCTGCAATTTTCGATATAAAATTTCTCAAATTCACGATTTTTAATTTTCATTTTCTCGATTTTTCACTTTTTAGTTGTTCAACAAAGAACAAATTTATTCAAACTGAACTTTTGAAAAACTGGAAAATTGTAACACTGAAACAAAAAACAAAGCAATTAAAAATCCAGTAATTGAAAAATCCACAAAAAGAAACAATTTTTCGATATAAAATTTTTCAAATTCTCGATTTTTATTTCTTCATTTTCTCGATTTGTCATTTTTTAATTGTTCAACAAAAGGACAAATTTATTCAAACCGAAATTTTGAATTGAATTGAAAGATCGAAAAATTGAAAACTGAAGCTTGAAATATCGAAAAATTTAAAAATTGAAAAATCTAAAAACGAAAAAATTGAGAAATTGAACAATGGGATAATTGAAAAATTGAAAATTGTGATTAATTAAAAATTGACAAAACGAAGCATTCTGCAATTTTTCGATAAAAAATTTTTCAAATTCACGATTTTTAATTTTCATTTTCTCGATTTTTCATTTTTTAGTTGTTCAACAAAGAGCAAATTTATTGAAACTGAACTTTTGAAAAACTGGAAAATTGTAACACTGAAACATAAAAAAACAAAACAATTAAAAATCCAGTAATTGAAAAATCCACAAAAAGAAACAATTCTCTAATTTTTCGATATAAAATTTTTCAAATTCTCGATTTTTATTTCTTCATTTTCTCGATTTGTCATTTTTTAATTGTTCAACAAAAGGACAAATTTATTAAAATCGAAAAATGAAAAAATTGAGAAATTGAGCATTGGGATAATTGAAAATCGTGATTAATGAAAAATGAAACAATTCTGCAATTTTTCAATATAAAATTTTTCAAATTCTCGATTTTTCATTTTTTAGTTGTTCAACAAAGAACAAATTTATTCAAACTGAACTTTTGAAAAACTGGAAAATGGTAACACTGAAACATAAAAAAACAAAACAATTAAAAATCCAGTAATTGAAAAATCCACAAAAAGAAACAATTCTCAAATTTTTCGATATAAAATTTTTCAAATTCTCGATTTTTATTTCTTCATTTTCTCGATTTTTCATTTTTTAATTGTTCAACAAGGACAAATTTATTCAATACCGAAATTTTGAATTGAATTGAAAAATCAAAAAATTGGGAAATCGAAGAATTGAAAATTGAAACTTGAAATATCGAAAAATTGAAAAATTGAAAAACCGAAAAATGAAAAAATTGAGAAATTGAACAATGGGATAATTGAAAAATTGAAAATTGTGATTAATTAGAAATCGACAAAACGAAGCAATTCTGCAATTTTTCTACATAAAATTTTTTAAATTCACGAATTTAATTTTCATTTTCTCGATTTTTCATTTTTTAGTTGTTCAACAAAGAACAAATTTATTCAAACTGAGCTTTTGAAAAACTGGAAAATTGTAACATTGAAACATAAAAAAACAAAACAATTAAAAATCCAGTAATTGAAAAATCCACAAAAAGAAACAATTCTCCAATTTTTTGATATAAAATTTTTCAAATTCTCGATTTTTATTTCTTCATTTTCTCGATTTTTCATTTTTTAATTGTTCAACAAGGACAAATTTATTCAAACCGAAATTTTGAATTGAATTGAAAAATCAAAAAATTGAGAAATCGAAGAATTGAAAAGTGAAACTTGAAATATCGAAAAATTTAAAATTTAAAAATTGAAATATCGAAAAGTGAAAAAATTGAGAAATTGAACAATGGGATAATTGAAAAATTGAAAACCCTGATTAATTAAAAATCGAGAAAGTGAAAAATTGAAAAAACGAAAAACAAAAACTTCTATAAATTAAACAATTAATAAAAACACAAAGAAAAATTTAATTTCAAAATCCAAAAATTTTAAAATGAAAACCGAAAAACTAAAAATTTAAGAAACTGTAAAAAAGAAACATGGAAAAATTGAAAAATTGTTCCATCGAAAAGACGAAACACTGAAAAACCGAAATATTTAAAAACCGAGAAATCGAAGATTTGAAAAAATACAGAAACTGAAAAATTTTACGATATTTTAATTTTCCAAATTTTGATGTTTCTGAATCCAGTTTTCCAATTTCTCAATTAATCTATTTTTTGATTGTCCCTTTTTTGGCCTTCCCGAAGTTTGGATCTTTCAGTTCTTTCAATTTTTCGATTTTTCAGATTTTTGGTTTTTAAATTGTTCGATTTTGGTTTTTTGACTTTTCGATTTCTCAATTTTCCAATTTTTTAATTTCCCAATTTTTGGATTTCCTGATTTTTCAGTTTTTCTATTCTTCATTTTTTCTTGTATTTTTTAATTTTTCGAGTTTTTTCAACTTATTTTAACTTTTTAGTTTTTAAAATTTTAGGTTTTTCGATTTTTCCAGTTTTCATTTCTTCTTGGTATGTTTCAGTTTTTTAATTTTCGGAATTTTGTAATTTTAGATTTTCCATTTTTTCGATGTTTCGATTTTTCAATTGTCCAGTTGTTCAATTCCTCGATTTGTAAATTTTAGATTTTGCAATTTTTATTTTTAAAATTTTTTTATTCTTCGATAATTCCATTTTTCGATTTTTCGATCACTGAAAGCTTTTCGTCGCGTTATTAACTAAAAATAAAAGTAAAAAATAACTACCAAAATTGTGACTAAAAAGAACAAATTTATCTAAACTACAATATTTCTCGATTTTCATTTCTTCATTTTCTCGATTTGTCATTTTTTATTTATTCAACAAGGACAAAGATGAAAAATGAAACTTGAAATATCGAAAAATTTTAAAATTGAAAAATCTAAAAATGAAAAAAATGAGAAATTAAACAAATGGATAATTGAAAAAACAATGGAGAAATTGTAGTATTGAAACCTCAAAACCCTCATTAATTAAAAATCGAGAAACTGAAAAATCAACAAAACGAAGCAATTCTGCAATTCTTTATAATTTGATTTCTCAATTTTTCAACTTTTCGAAAAATCTAGAATTTTAAAAACTAAAAAGTTAATAATTTTTAAAATTCTAGATTTTTCGATTTCTCAAAAGTTTTGAATTCTATATTTTAATTTTTCAATTTTCCGCATTTTTGATTTTTCAATTTTTTGACATCTCGATTTATCGAGAATCGGATGTTTCGATGTTTTAATTGTTCAATCTTTCGATTTATGAATTTTTTCATCTTTAACTGTTAGATTTTTCGATTTTGGCCTATTTCGATTTCTCAATTTTTCGACTTCTCGACTTCTCGATTTCTCGTTCTTTTGATTTTTCGATTTCTCGATGTCTCAGTTTTTGAATTTTTCTGATGTTTCGATTTGTCGGTTTTTCGAATTTTTACTTTTCGTCTTTTCGATTTTTGAATTCTCCGATTTTGCAGTGTTCCAATTTTTTTAATTTTTGAGTTTCGATTTTTCGATATGTTGATTTTTCACTTTTTCGATTTTTAAATTTCAGATTTCGAATTTTGATTTTTTTATTTTTTGATGTTTAGATTTCTCCATGTTTCAATTTTACGATATTTTATTTTTCCAATGTTTCAAATTTTAGATTTTTCAGTTTTTCAATAGTTTTTAATTTTTCAAATTTTGACGTTTCTTAATTTTTATTTTCCAGATTTGTCAATTAATCTATTTTTTGATTTTCCAATTTCTTGACTTCCCAAAGTTTCGATCTTTCAGTTCTCCAATTTTTTAAGTTTTCAGGTTTTTGATTTTTCAATTTTTCGATTTTTAAGTTTGCTATTTTTCGACTACTTTTTTGGCTTTTCGATTTCTCATTTTCAGAATTGTTTGATTTCCCAATTTTTGGATATTTTTTTCAGTTTTGGAATTTTTCAGTATTTCGTTTCTTCTACTTTAGGATCTTTGGACTTTCGGATTTTTCGATTTTTTGCTTTCTTGGTTCTCCGTTTTTTATTTTTTAAACTTTAGATTTTTCAACTTTTCGTTATTTTGACTATTCAGTTTTTAAAATGTTAGGTTTTTCGATTTCTCGAGTTTTCAGTTCTTCTATATGTATTTTAATTTTTCAATTTTCCGAATTTAATTTTAATCTATTTTTTGATTTTCCCAGTTTTGGACTTCCCGAAGTTTCGATCTTTCAGTTCTTCAGTTCTTTAATTTTTCGATTTTTCAGGTTTTTGATTTTTAAATTGTTCGATTTCGGTTTTTTGACGTTTCGATTTCTCAATTTTCCTGATTTTTCATTTTTTCTACTCTTCAATTATTAACATGGAAAAATTAAAAATAAAACTGCAAAATCGGAAAAAAATCCCAAAATTGAAACATCAAAAAATCGAAAAACTGCAAAATTTTTAAAATTCTCAATTCTTAATTCTTAATTTTCTCGATTTTTCATTTTTTAATTCTACAAATTTATTCAAACCGAAATTTTGAAAAATTTAAAAATCAGAAAATTGTAACATTGAAACGTCTAAAAATGATAAAATCGAAAAATCTAAAAATTTTAACATTGAGAGGTCGAAGAATTGAAAAAATAAAGAAAATTTGAAAAAACCGAAAAAATGAGAATCAAAAATTGAAAAATGAAACTTGAAATATCGAAAAATTTTAAAATTGAAAAATCTAAAATTGAAAATATGAGAAATTAAAGAAGTGAATAATTGAAAAAACAATGGAGAAATTGTAATATAGAAACCTGAAAACCCTGATTAATTAAAAATCGAGAAATTGAAAAATTGACAAAACGAAAAACAAAAATTTCTATAAATTAAATAATCAAAATTACAAAAAAAAATTTAATTTCAAAATACAAAAATTTTAAAATGAAAACCGAAAAACTAAAAAATTAAGAAATTGTAAAAAAGAAACATGGAAAAATTGAAAAATTGTTACATCGAAAAGACGAAACACTGAAAAACCGAAAAATTTAAAAAACGAGAAATCGAAGATTTGAAAAAATACAGAAACTTTCTTTTGTGGTAAATGTTAGAATTAGTGGGTATCTAGTGAGCGTGCGTGACACGCCACTGAGTTTCTGGATGTGATGCCATTTGATGTTGAAGTGGATTTGCTGAGTAATTTCTTGACAGCACGTGGGGCCTAGGTGGCCCACTCGGACCTTCTCCTAGTGACAATTTTCTAATTTCCCTTTCTTCTTCATACTCTGGCGCGTGGTTTGCAGAAGTTGACGCTTTGGTTTTTGTATGTTGGGCGTTCATTGTCGAAACACGGACTGCAGACTTGGATAATTCAGACGAAAAAGTTTGTATTTGGGTCGATTCACTACGTTCACTACCTAATATTAATTTTCTTTGATTGTCCAAATGTGAGTCGACTCTGTCAGTTTGACAGGAATTTCTAAAACGACACAATGATACTTAGAAACGAAAACTAATCAAAATAGTACGGTTTTTCGCAAGCTTTTCTAAATATGTTCAAGAGTTCTTCGACATCGGGATTCCATAGTGGGTGGTTTCGGCCGATCTGGCGTCCCGCAGAAAACATATCCCGAAAGTCTTCCCTCACATACATCCCATCTTTGTAGTAAAACGCCGGCAAAACGTCACTACATTCAAATTCTTCTTCAACTGATAGTGACTGCAAATATCGCAAATAATCTTCAATGTCTTCGTTAGTATCGAGATCGTGGTCAGCAAGAACTTGTAGTTCTGGCTGAGGTTTCACTTCAGTTTGTGTAACTTGTTGAGATAAGCCATAATCGTCCAGTTCGAACTTTAGTAATTGGTCGATGTTCAATAGAAACTCTGCTTGAGTGGGGACGGCTTTCAAAGCAAAGTATATAAACTTCTGGTACTGGCGCAAAATCTCGACTAGACATTGTTCCCTCACTATAAATTGGCGCTCTCTTTTGATTTTAAGTTTCATCAAATCTTTAATTTCGTTCGACTTTTGCTTCGAAATTGACTTCATTTTTCGCACCCGCTTCACATAATGCTTCCGAATTACGTTCCTTTCGACTTTACATCTTCTCCTTTCTTTGCAAAGAAGGTACATCAGATCGGCCACATTTTGACAATGTAGTTGGTGTTTCATTTCTTTTATCTTCTCGTTGTATTTTTTCCGCTCGAAATTAATAGCACATTTTTTCTTGTCTTGGATAGCCCTACATTGATGACGTTTATTACGTTTATTTTATTAACTTTAACCCAATTTAACCTGATTTGTTTGATATATATCCTGACTAAAATTTGCTCCTGCAGTTTCATCTTGTCCAAAAATTTCCCGGTTACTTTGGCCACAGTTTCATTAATTTCTTGTTGTGCTCGATCTTTCCAAAATATATTTATCGAATCGACTTCTTCCGCCATTTCTTCTTTCAGTCGTTCAATTTGCTCGTAACACTCCGTCACAATTTTGCAGATTTCAGCGTCATAATAATCTTGTATTTTCTTCAACTGTGACCCATATTCAAGTTTCTCTTCTTCACGTAACGCGGCAAGCAAAGCCGCTTTTTCTGTTTCGTAAACACCCATTAAGAACTTCTCGAGTTGCTCTAGCGCTGATTCTTTCCAAAGTCGCCCTTCGTTGAGGAACTTTTGCTCCAGTGCGGGTCCCAGTTCTGTCAGCAGGAATTAGTTTTTGAAATTTCACATTAGTCTTAGTTTACCTATTATCGCTAGATGTGTTAAAGCGTACATATGCTTCTCAGTCGGTGATGGCGTCAAAACCACTTTTCCGTTGAGCGAGTCTTTCGGTGCTACCCATAAGTCGCCCTGAGGACCGTTCAGATATGGTGCTAACCCGTAGTCGGGCTTCAGCTCCGGGTAACATTGATCGAAAAGAAGCGAAGCCAGCGGTAGACCTGCCATGTCTTTGGTGTCTGAAATTGTCGGCACTTGTAGGGTCTTCATCATTTTTTTTCGCCGGAAGTATTCGGGGCTCCAGCGGGTCTCTAAAACGGAGAAGGCTTTCCCGAGAGGGGTTTATAAACGAATTCAACCAAGTCTTGTTGGTCGTACCCATTTTAACTGCAAATTTCGCGAAATTTAGAAGATAGAATCAAAATCGTCGAAATGACAAAATTTTGAATGACTACTGACAGGGTTGTCAAAATTACTACCGTGTTCGAACCATCCCCACCTTCCCCTATGCATCGCGTACTGCCGTCTATGCGTTACGATTTTTCATTAATTCCATTTTTTGCTTTGTTGGTTCTCCGATTTTACAATTTTTTGAATTTTAAACTTTTAGTTTTTTAATTTTTCAATTTCGTGATTTTTTATTTTTCAGCAAAAGAATAAATTTATCTCAACTAAAATATTGGAAAATCGGAAAATTTTACCATTGAAACAAAGAATACAAAAATTTTGAAATGAAAAATCCAAAAAGTTCAAAATGAAAATCGAAAAACTAAAAAATCGCGACACCGAAAAATTGTAAAAACATGGAAAAATCTAAAATAAAACTGCAAAATCGGATAATTGAAAAATTGGAAAAACGAAAAAATAAAAAATCCCGAAATTGAAACATCAAAAAATTGAAAAACTAACAATTTTTGCAATTTTTCTGTTTTAAAGTTTTCAAGTTCCTGATTTCCAATTTTAATCAAAATGAAATTTTGCAAAATCCAGTAACTGTAACACCGAAACATTAAAAAATACAACAATTAAAAATCGAGAAATTGAAAAATCGACCAAATGCAATTTTTCGATATAAAATTTTTTAAATTCACGACTTTTAATTTTCATTTTCTCGATTTTTCATTTTTTAGTTGTTCAACAAAGAACAAATTTATTCAAACTGAACTTTTGAAAAACTGGAAAATTGTAACACTGAAACATAAAAAAACAAAACAATTAAAAATCCAGCAATTGAAAAATCCGCAAAAAGAAACAATTCTCCAGTTTTTCGAAATAAAATTTTTCAAATTCTCGATTTTTATTTCTTCATTTTCTCGATCTGTCATTTTTTAATTGTGCAACAAAAGGACAAATTTATTCAAACCGAAATTTTGAATTGAATTGAAAAATCAAAAAATTGAGAAATCGAAGAATTGAAAAATGAAACTTGAAATATCGAAAAATTTAAAAATTGAAAAATCGAAAAATGAAAAAATTGAGAAATTGAACAATGGGATAATTGAAAAATTGAAAATTGTGATTAATTAAAAATTGACAAAACGAAGCATTCTGCAATTTTTCGATATAAAATTTTTCAAATTCACGAATTTAATTTTCATTTTCTCGATTTTTCATTTTTTAGTTGTTCAACAAAGAGCAAATTTATTCAAACTGAACTTTTGAAAAACTGGAAAATTGTAACACTGAAACATAAAAAAACAAAACAATTAAAAATCCAGTAATTGAAAAATCCACAAAAAGAAACAATTCTCCAATTTTTCTATATAAAATTTTTCAAATTCTCGATTTTTATTTCTTCATTTTCTCGATTTGTCAGTTTTTAATTGTTCGACAAAAGGACAAATTTATTCAAACCGAAATTTTGAATTGAATTGAAAAATCAAAAAATTGAGAAATCGAAGAATTGACTAATGAAACTTGAAATATCGAAAAATTTAAAAATTGAAAAATCGAAAAATGAAAAAATTGAGAAGTTGAGCCATGGGATAATTGAAAAATTGAGAATCGTGATTAATTAAAAATCGACAAAACCAATCAATTCTGCAATTTTCGATATAAAATTTCTCAAATTCACGATTTTTAATTTTCATTTTCTCGATTTTTCACTTTTTAGTTGTTCAACAAAGAACAAATTTATTCAAACTGAACTTTTGAAAAACTGGAAAATTGTAACACTGAAACATAAAAAACAAAGCAATTAAAAATCCAGTAATTGAAAAATCCACAAAAAGAAACAATTTTTCGATATAAAATTTTTCAAATTCTCGATTTTTATTTCTTCATTTTCTCGATTTGTCATTTTTTAATTGTTAAACAAAAGGACAAATTTATTCAAACCGAAATTTTGAATTGAATTGAAAAATCGAAAAATTGGGAAATCGAAGAATTGAAAAATGAAACTTGAAATATCGAAAAATTTAAAAATTGAAAAATCGAAAAATGAAAAAATTGACAAATTGAGCATTGGGATAATTGAAAATCGTGATTAATTAAAAATGAAAAGTGAAACAATTCTGCAATTTTTCATATAAAGTTTTTCAAATTCTCGATTTTTCATTTTTTAATTGTTCAACAAAAGGACAAATTTATTCAAACTGAACTTTTGAAAAACTAAAAAATTAGAAAATTTAAACATTGAGAAGTCGAAGAATTGAAAAAATAAAGAAAATTGAAAAAACCGAAAAAACGAGAATCAAAAATTGAAAAATGAAACTTGAAATATCGAAAATTTTTAAATTGAAAAATCTAAAAATGAAAAAATGAGAAATTAAACAAGTGGATAATTGAAAAAACAATTGAAAATCGAGAAATTGTCTGAAAACCCTGATTAATTAAAAATCGAAAAATTAAAAAATCAAAAATACAAACAATTGTAATTTTAAAATCCAAAGATTTTAAAATGAAACTTGAAAAATCGAAAAATTGAATAATCGAAAAATTGTAATATTGAAACCTCATAACCCGGATTAATTAAAAATCGTGAAACTGAAAAATCGATAAAATGAAGCAATTCTGCAATTTTTCGATATAAACTTTTTCAAATTCTCGATTTTAATTTTCATTTTCTCGATTTTTCATTTTTTAATTGTTCAACAAAGGACAAACTTATTCAGACCGAAATTTTGAATTGAATTGAAAAATAAAAAAATTGAGAAATCGAAGAATTGAAAAAACAAAGAAAAATTGAAAAAACCGAAAAAATGAGAATCAAAAGCTGAAAAATGAAACTTGAAATACCGAAAAATTTAAAAATTGAAAAATCGAAAAATGAAAAAATTGAGATATTTAACAATGGGATAATTGAAAAAACAATTGAAAAGTCGAAAAATTGTAATATTGAAACTTGAAAACCCTGATTAATTAAAACTCGAGAAAGTGAAAAATTGAAAAAACGAAGAACAAAAACTTGTATAAATTAAACAATCAAAAACAAAAAAAAAATAATATCAAAATCCAAAAATTTTAAAATGAAAACCGAAAAACTAAAAAATTAAGGAACTGTAAAAATGAAACATGGAAAAATTGAAAAATTGTAACATCGAAAAGACGAAATACTGAAAAAACCGAAAAATTTAAAAACCGAGAAATCGAAGATTTGAAAAAATACAGAAACTGAAAAATTTTACGATGTTTTAATTTTTCAGTTCTTCAATATTTTTTAATTTTTCAGATTTTGATGTTTCTGAATTTCCAGTTTTCCGATTTCTCAATTAATCTATTTTTTGATTTTTCCTTTTTTGGCCTTCCCGAAGTTTCGATCTTTCAGTTCTTCCATTTTTCAGGTTTTTGATTTTTAAATTGTTCGATTTTAGTTTTTTGACTTCGATTTCTCAATTTTTCTATTCTTCAATTTTTCTTGTATTTTTCAATTTTTCGAGTTCTGAAGTTTTCGATTTCTCCACTTTTTACTTTTTGGATTTTCAGTTTTCCATTTTTTAAACTTTACATTTTTCAATTGTTCGACTGTTGTGTACTTCGATTTCTTAATTTTTCAATTTTTCCATATTTTAGCTTTTTAGTTTTTAAAATTTCAGGTTTTTCGTATTCTCCAGTTTTCAGTTCTTCTGTTTCAGTTTTTCAATTTTCGGGATTTTCCAATTTTCGATTTTCCATTTTTTTTTATTTTCCAATTTTTCGAAGTTTCGATTTTTCAATTGTCCGGTTGTTCAATTTCTCGATTTTTAATTTTAGATTTTCCAATTTTTATTTTTTTGATTTTTTCATGTTTTTTTTTTCTCGATTTTACAATTTTTCGATATTTCTATTTCAAAATTTTTCGACTTTTCGATTACCCGATTTTTCAAGTTTTCGATTTCTCAATTTTTTCAACATTATTAGTTTAGGGAACTTTTCAGTTTGTTTTTTTTTAATTTTTCGATTTTTAAAATTTTTTATTCTTCTATAATTCATTTTTTCGATTTTTCGATCACTGAGAGCTTTTCGTCGTGTTATTGCTAAAAATAAAAGTAAAAAATAACTACCAAAATTGTGACTAAAAGAACAAATTTATCTAAACTAAAATATTAGAAAATCGGAAAATTGTATCATTGAAACAATGAAGAATACAAAAATTTTAAAATAAATATGTGGATAATTGAAAAAACAATGGAAAAATCGAGAAATTGTCTGAAAACCCTGATTAATTAAAAATCGAGAGATTGAAAAATTGAAAAAACGAAAAACAAAAATTTCAAAGAATTTAAAATGAAACTTGAAATATCGAAAAATGTAAAAATTGAAAAATTGAAAATCCTGATTAATTAAAAATTGAGAAAGTGCAAAATTGAAAAAACGAAAACAAAAACTTCTATAAATTAAACAATCAAAAATACAAAAAAAAAAAATTTTCAAAATCCAAAAATTTTAAAATGAAAACCGAAAAACTAAAAAATTAAGAAATTGTAAAAAAGAAACATGGAAAAATTGAAAAATTGTTGCTTCGAAAAGACCAAACACTGAAAAAGTTTCAGTTCTTCAATTTTTTTTTTCAGATTTTGATTTTTCCGATTTCTCAATTAATCTGTTTTGATTTTCCCTTTTTTGGCCTGTCCGAAGTTTCGATCTTTCAGTTCTCCAATTTTTGATTTTTAAATTGTTCGATTTTGGTTTTTTGACTTTTCGATTTCTCAATTTTCCAATTTTTTAATTTCCCCCTGATTAATTAAAAATCGCGAAACTGAAAAATCTACAAAACGAGGCAATTTTTCGATATAAAATTATTCAAATTCTCTATTTTTATTTCTTCATTTTATCGATTTGTCATTTTTTAATTGTTCAACAAAAGGACAAATTTATTCAAACCGAAATTTTGAATTGAATTGAAAAATCGAAGAATTGAAGAAATAAAGAAAATTTGAAAAAACCGAAAAAATGAGACTTAAAAAACTGAAAAATGAAACTTGAAAAATCGAAAAATGAAAAAATTAAGAAATTGAACAATGAGATAATTGAAAAATCGAAAAATTGTTATATTGAAACCTGAAAACCCCGATTAATTAAAAATCGAGAAAGTGAAAAATTGAAAAAACGAAAAACAAATACTTCTATAAGTTAAACAATCAAAAATACAAAGAAAATTTAATTTCGAAATCCAAAAATTTTAAAATGAAAACTGCAAAGATTAAAAAATTAAGAAATTGTAAAAAAGAAACATGGAAAAATTGAAAAATTGTAACATCCAAAAGACGAATCACTGAAAAACCGAGAAATCGAAGATTTGAAAAAATACAGAAACTGAAAAATCGGGTAATTGAAAAGCCAAGAATTGTACACTTGAAAAAAATCCTAATAATAATTATTTGAAAAAAGTGAAAAATTAAAAATTGAGAAATTGAAAAATCGAAAAAACAAACAATTTAAAAAGATGAAAAATCGAAAAATTAAAAAGCAACTTGGAAAATCGCAAAATTAAAATATCTGCAAATTAAAAAATCGAAAACATACAAAAATTTTACTGAAAAATAGAAATCATAATGAAAATCGAAAAACTAAAAAATCGAGAAATCGAAAAATCTAAAAACGAAACACGGAAAAATCGAAAAATTAACAATTAAAAAAAACAAAAATTTAAAAATCTCGAATTGAGACAACAAAAAATCGAACAAACGAAACAATTTGGAAGTACATACTTGGAAATAATTTATTTTTAATTTTTCATTTTCTCAATTTTTCGTTCCTTAATTTTTCAACAAAAGGACCAACTTATTAAAAGTGAAATTCTAAAAAATCAAAGTCGGAAAATTTAAAAACCGAACAATTTAAAAATTGGGAAATCGAAGAACTGCAAAAATAAAGAAACTCAAAATCGAATAATTAAGAGGTCAACAATTGGAAAAGGAAAAATTGTAACCTTAAAAATGAAAAAACTGAAAATTTAAAAAACAGAAAAATCGAACAATTGCAAAATTGAAACACCGAGAAATTTAAAAATCGTAATCTTAAAACTTGACAAACTGAAAACTTCGATAATTGAAAAAACAACTGAAAATTTGAAAAATTGAAAGTCAAGAAACTGTAAAATCGAAAAACAAAATTTTCTAGAAATAGAAAAAATCGACAAATCGTAAAATTCAAAAGTTAAAAAATGTCAAAATAAACATCGAAAACTGAAAAATTGAAAAAAATTAAATATTGCACAACAAAACAAAAATTGAAATACCGAAATGTTGAAAAAATAGCGAAAGTAAAAAATCGGATAACGAAAAAATAATAATATTCGACCGAGCCAGTTTGAATTTAGCGCCGGTGTACTTCGTTGCGATTGGTCGGCACGGGTGCGGAAATTAACGTATGCTGTGTTTATCATGTAAATTGTTTATATTATTAACGTGCGTTATCCAGATTTTACAACGAAATATTTTATTCACGCTAACACAACTAACAATCCCCCTTTTTTGCGCAACTAAATAAAATCAGCGACCCAAAAAACGCTTTTTGTAAATGAACGTGTTTGTGGATCATGTCCTGCGCATAGTACTCAAAATGGCGATCGACGAACGAAATTTCCGTTCCACTTACTACGAAAAAGTGGGCTTCAAAAGCGTAGAAGAAAAACGATCCCTGGAAATTTTATTAAAAGAGAAACCTCTAGACCTATCCAAGTTGAAACAATTTTGCCTAAGATTCGGTGTCCCGGCGGCCCACAGAAACTTGGTATGGAAATTGTTGTTGGGTAGGTGGCGTTTGTGTCGTGGTACGCCTGCCAAGCGTCAAATTTGAAATTTCAGGAATTTTACCTCTCCAAGAAAAATGTCACGAATTCGTGACGGAACAACGAAAAGAAGAGTATTCAAATTTAATTCATGCCTTAAACGTGTTGAGGATAACCAAAGATCTTCCGAAGTCGAAAGTGTTCGTAGCGATGTGGTTATTACAGAACGGGAAGTTGAGGTTTGAGAGTAGCTACGAAGATGAGAGGGGGTTGTTTGCCATAATTAAGTCGATGATGTTTCATTTTGAGTACGATGTCGATGTGTATTTATTAGCGAAGGCGTTTTATGAAACGGTGCAGAAATTTCAGTGTGAATTTCCTAAGCTTATAGAGGCCACGCATGCTTTATTGGAAAAAGAGGAGTGTAAGCTTTATAAACATTTGTGTAAAATCGAGGCATTAGATAGTTTGCCTTTAGAGAGTTGGTTTGATTGTTGTTTTGCCGGTATTTTGAATGATATGGTGTTGGGCAGGTAATAATTGCAACGAAGTGTACACAGCCGTGACGACTTATTTCTAGGATATGGGACAAAATTGTTGGAGGTTCCTACAAAATTCTGGTCTATACTACAGTAGTCATTTTAACCAGTTTGAAACACAAGTTAATGAGATGTAGCAGCTTAGATGATGTTGTACAAAGTGTTAATAATGTAAGAAACCCAAAGTCGTTGTAATCGTGGTGATAATATTTTTTAGATATCTGAAGAATTGGCAGAAGTTATTGTGAACAAATCACTCGAGTTGTGGCAACAACAAGGTAGTCCGCTAACCGTTTACGACAAGCCTAAACCATAAACAAGTGTCTTATTGTGATGTTTAAATGTATATTTTTTATAAAGTTGTGTAATTAAAGTTTTGTATATTTTGCATCAATTTAGGGTTTTTGTGTGTACAACGAAAAGTTAGGTTACCTTGGAGTTGTCAAACGAGATAAGTTTCAAGTCCTACGTTGCAAATAATGTTATCTGGTAAACATGTAAGTTAATCCAAGTCGATTCTCGAAAGCCGTATTAGTTTAGTTGAACTCGGGACAACTGTTTTTTTACTTTCACACAAATCATGAAAATGTGAGGTTATAACAAATTTACAAAACTGGTAGATACAATGGCTTTTGAAAAAGACACCAAAGACAGCTTGGCGCAGAAGTATCTAACGATATTTTTCGTCGTTTCTGGATACTGGTTAGTGCAATTAATGCAAAAAGTTGTGGCGCCAAATTTAAACTTTGTTGCAGGGTTGTATCCATTCTGACTGTGTTTATTAATAAAACGTTATTAAGCGAATTAGAGCTAAATGCACCCATGTTTATTGCTTTATACCAAACTCTTGTAACAACCCTGATATGTTTGATGCAGAAAAGTTTAGCCAGAATGTTTCCACGTTACTTTAGTTTTCCAGAAACGAGTGTCTGGAGTATGAAAACTATAAAAACCGTGAGTATAATATAATCTACAAACGTGTTTCATGACTCGTTTTTGTTTCCAGATTCTCCCAGTTTCGTTAATGTTCACGATGATGATTGCCATGAACAATCTGTGTCTCAAATATGTTTCAGTTGCATTTTATTACATTGGGAGATCTCTCACAACGGTTTTTAACGTCTCTTTCACGTATTTAATTTTGGGCGAAAAAACGTCAAAACAATGTTTATTTTTCTGCGCTGTGATTCTATTCGGGTTTTATCTAGGGGTAGACCAGGAAAGTTTGTCTGGGACACTATCAATCAGTGGGACCGTTTTTGGCGTCCTTGCGTCCTTATCGTTGTCGCTTTATTCAATTTTTACCAAAAAAGTTTTACCCAAAGTTGATAATGAAGTGTGGGCTTTGTCATACTATAATAACATTTATGCCACGATTTTATTTCTATTGTTGATGTTGTTCAATGGAAATGAGTTTGTGGAATTGTTCAACTATATGGAGTTGTTACACACGTATTTCTGGTTTATAATGACCGTTGGAGGGGTGTGTGGGTTCGCAATTGGATTTTTTACATCGTTACAAATCAAGGTGAGATTAAGTACTTAAGTCGTTTGACGTTTTAATTGACATGGTTTAACTCGCACTGATTCGCGCATGCGTGTTTATTATACAATTGTTTTTGTTTTGTACAGTACACATCAGCCCTAACTCACAATATATCGGGTACGGCAAAGGCTTGTGCCCAGACAGTGTTGGCAACTTACTGGTATCAAGAAACCAAGTCGCTTTTGTGGTGGTGCTCAAACGTTATCGTGTTACTAGGAAGCGCAGGATATGCTCGAGTTAAACAGCAGGATATGGAAAGAAAGCACAAGGAAAGTGCAATTTATCAGAAAGTTTGATGAAATTCGTCGTAGGATCTGTGATTTTTCACTATCCACGTGGAACTTATTTTACACCACATGCTATAAATAATTATATCAACATGCATTTATCATTTTGTAATATATTCCACACACGTGTAGCGATTTTATTTGTAATAAATCAAGAGGAGATGTAAGATATTTCCAAGAAATGGGAATAAAACTAATTATTTTTAGAACCTCTACACTGAATTATGTGTATTGTAAACTAGGTCTGCAACGAACACATAATTAGTGTTACCATTTATATGAACCAAAATATTTTTTTTTGTTTTGAAATTCCTGGGATTCTTTTAATTTTTTACGACTTCCAGTTAGAATTTCGAGCGCTAATTAACTCCTAGAACTGTCGTTACGCAACGTTTTTCTGAAAACTTTATCAGGTACTGTGTTTATTAAGTACTTCAAGTTATTAAAAAGGAGCTATTCAAAGTACATATCCACACCTGGAAACTGTTTGAAGATTAACTCGATAATATAGAACTGTTCCTATTATTGTTGACATTTGTTGAATTGGAAATTGTTACTGTTTACTTTTTTACGCTTTTAGATATATATTGTAATTTTTAACATCCTTTGTGTTTATTAAACTTCTTTCTTTCTGTCTCGGTGTCTTACTATTTTGTATCCTAAGGTACGCAAAAATGTAAAAAAAAATTTGAAAAATTTAAAGCAATCGTGAAGTTCTAGGTATTCCTGTCTGGAAAAATTGACTAAGACGCCCACCCACCCTGTCTTTTCTCAAAGGGTATGTTATTTGACAAAATCAGTTTTATCTTGGCAGCTACGAGCCCCGCCCACCCACCCTCTCTTTTCTTGGAGGATATGTTATTGCCAATTTTTTTTTTCAATTTTTTTATTCTTCAAATTTTCGATTCCCCGGATTTTTTATTTTTCGCTGTTTCAATAATACGATTTCTCAATTTCTGTCCTCTTCAATTTTACTATCTCTAAATATTTCGATTTTTCAAATTTTGACGTTTCTCAATTTTCAGTTTTCCGATTTCTGAAGTAAACTTTTTTTATTTTCCCGTTTCTCGACTTCCCAAAGTTTCAGGTTTTTGATTTTTCGATTTTTTAAACTTACGATTTTTTTTAGTTCTTCGATTTCACAATTTTACAGTTTTGTAATTTCTCATTTCTTTGGATATTTCTTTCAGTTTTGGGATTTTTCGATTTTTGGACTCCTGGATTTTTTACTTTTTGGATTTTCAATTTTTCGTCAAACTTTAGAACATTTCAATTTTTCGACTGTTTTAATTTTTCAATTTTCAAAATTCTAGGTATTTCGATTTATTGAGGTTTCAGTTCTTCTACATTACAATTTTTCAACTTTTTTCAAATTTTTCGATTTTTTTTTTCGATTTACCGAATTCAGATTTTTCGATGTTTCGATTGTTCAATTTCTCGATTTTCTGATTCTTTGATTTTTAAATTTTAGATTTTCGAATTTTTATTTTTTGATGTTTGGATTTCCCGATTTTTCAGTTTTGCCATGTTTTAATTGTTGAATGTTTTAAATTTTAGATTTTTCGATTTCCCGAATTTTTAAGTTTTCGATTTTACAATTTTTCTTTTTCAAATTTTTTGATATCTCGAATTCAGATGTTTTGATGTTTCGATTGTTCAATTTCTCGATTCATCAATTTATCAATTTTTAACTTTTCTTCTCGGCTTTCGATTCCACGATTTTTCGATTTCTCGATGTTCCAGTTTTTTAATTTTTCGATGTTTCGATTTTTGGATTTCTCAGTTTTTCGATTTTTTACTTTTGGACTTTTCAATTTTTCGATGTTTCGATTTGTCAGTTATCCTTTTCAGTTTTGGGGTTTTAGATTTTCGAATTCTTATTTTTTGATTTTTTGTTTGGATTTTTCTATTTTTCAATTTTGCGATTTTTTAATTGTTCAATTCGTTTTTTCTCAATATATATTCAGAAAAAACGGCATCTGAATTGCGATAGGGTGGGTGGGCGGAATTTATAATTTACCTTTTTTCATAATATGCATAGTATTCTTTGAACAACACGAAATATTTTTAATCTCATGTAAAGAAATAAGTATTTTGCAGTTAAGCTCCGCCCCCTTGGTTATCGGCGAATAAAAAAATGATCACAATTGCGGGCGGGTGGGTTTATATTTTGATTTTTTTGTTTTAACATGTGTAGACTTGTTTCTACAAACTTAAAACATGTTTACAATGGAAAATTTGTATAAGGAAATATCGATTTTACAATTAGGCACCGCCCCATAATTGTCAAATCCATATTTCCTTGGAAAAATGGACCATTTTAACTATACTCTAAGATTTTTGTTGTGAAAAAATAGCTATGTATGCTATAAAAACAAAAGGCAAAATATAAGCCCCGCCCACCCGCCCTATCTCAATTCTGATGATTTTTTTATTCGTCGTAAGCCGAGGGGCGTAGCTTAATTGTAAAATCCTTATTTTTCTACGAGAAATTACCACGTGAAATTTGTTCTTAAGTAATCGTGTTTACGAAGAAAACTAAATTTTTAGTTTTTGATTTTTGGATTTCTCGATTTTTCAATTTTGCGATATTTTAATTGTTAAATGTTTTAAATTTTAGATTTTTCGATGTTTTAATTTTTCAGTTCTTCAGTATTTGTATTTTTCAATTTTTTAAATTTTGACATTGCTAAATTTTCAGTTTTCCGATTTCTCAATTAATCTATTTTTGATTTTCTCATTTCTCGACTTCTCCAAGTTTCGATTTTTCAGTTCTTCAATTCTTCGATTTTTCGACTTTGCTTTTTTGGTTTTCCGATTTCTCAATTTTCTAATTTTTTAATTTCCCAATTTTTGGATATTTCTTTCAGTTTCGATGTTTTGATTGATCAGTCTCTCGATTTATCAATTTTTTCATTTTTAACTTTTCGATTTTTCGATTTTGGCCTATTTCGGTTTCTAAATTTTTCCATTTTTCAACCTTTCGACTCCTTGAGTTCTCGTTCTTTTGATTTTTAGATTTCTCGATGTCTTAGTTTTTGAATTTTTCTGTTTCGATTTTTCGATTTTTTATTTTTCGGCTTTCCGATTTTTCGGTGTTTCGATTTTTGAATTATCCGATTTTTTAAGTTTCCAATTTTTTTAATTGTCGAATTTCGATTTCTTGAATTGATTTTTCAATTTTTTGATTTTTAAATTTAAATTTTTCGACTTTTCGATTTTTCAGTTCTTCAATATTTTTTAAGTTTTCAAATTTTGACGTTTATAAATTTTCAGTTTTCCGATTTCTCAATTAATCTATTTTTTGAATGATTAAACATTAAAACTTGTTGGTAGATTAGTGTGAAACCCAAAATCAATAATTTCTGTCTATACCTTTCTAAAAATACACGTGTTTGTTGAGTTTACTGTTCAATATTTACTTTTTCTAAGTCGTGTCGTCATCGCATTTTGATCGTGTAGATAACTGTTTTTGCGGAAATTGTAAAAACAACGTATTTACAATTTCCCACTTTTATAGAATTTATGGAACTCTTGTTTCTTCAAAACTTGTCTTTATTTTTTCAGTGGATAGAACATCATTTTGTAAATAACATACTTGTGGTTTATGAATCGGTCTTGATTGTGACCTTTCGAGCATTGCGATAACAGCTACAAAGGAATCCACTGTGAAGAAACTGGACTGATTTTTCAATTTTTCGATTTTTAAATTTGAGATTTTTGAATTATTGTTTTTTTTTTGATTTTTTGATATTCAGGTTTTTACATTTTTCAATTTTACGATATTTTAATTTTTCAATGTTTTAAATTTTAGATATTTCGACTTCGATTTTTTAGTTATTTTTTTAATTTTACGAATTTTGACGTTTCTGGATTTTCAGTTTTCCTATTTCTCAATTAATCTATTTTTGATTTTCTTATTTCTCAACTCCCAAAGTTTCGATCATTCAGTTCTTCAATTTTTGAGTTCTCAATTTTTTCAATTTTTTAATTTCCCAATTTTTGGATATTTCGTTCATTTTGTGATTTTTCAGTTTTTCGAGTCTTCAGTTTTTCTTGTATTTTTCAATTTGTCGATATTTAAGTTTTGAGATTTTTTATTTGGACTTTTCGATTTTTTGACTTTTTACTTTTTGGATTTTCAGTTTGTCGTTTTTTAAACTTTACATTTTTCCATTTTTCGACTGTTTTATAATAATTTGATTTCTCAATTTTTCGATATCTTAATTTTTCAATATTCCGCATTTTTAAATTCTCGTTTTTTAATTTTTTTGAGATCTCGATTTATTGAGATTCGGATGTTTCGATGTTTGGATATTCAATCTCTGGATTTATCAGTTTTTTCATCTTTAACTGTTAGATTTTTCGATTTTTGGCCTATTTCGGTTTCTTAATTTTTCAATTTTTCGACTTTTCGACTCCTCGATTTTCGTTTTTTTGATTTTTCGATTTCTCGATGTCTCAGTTTTTGAATTTTTCTGATATTTCGATTTGTCGGTTTTTGATGTTTTACTTTTCGATTTGTCGATATTTCGATTTTTGAATTCTTCGCTTTTTCAATGTTCCAATTTTTTTAATAATAATAATAATAATTTATTAATGCATATAAACATACAAGTTTTTTTGCATAAGTCACATATACATACTACACACAATAAACAATAAAAGAGAAATGACAAATTAATTGTTGAGTTTCGATTTTTCAAAGTGTTGATATTTCATTTTTTCGATTTTTAAATTTTAGATTTTCGAATTTTTAGTTTTTTGATTTTTTGATGTTTGGATTTCTCCATTTTGCAATTTTACGATATTTTATTGTTTCAATGTTTCAAATTTTAGATTTTTCAGTTCTGCAATATTTTTTAATTTTTCAAATTTTGACGTTTCTTAATTTTCATTTTTTCGATTTCTCAATTAATCTACTTTTTGATTTTCTCATTTCTCGACTTCCCAAAGTGTCGATCTTTCAGTTCTTCAAGTTTCTGATTTTTCAGGTTTTTGATTTTTTAATTTTTCGGTTTTTTAAGTTTGCGATTTTTCGACTTTACTTTTTGTTACTTTTCGATTTCTCATTTTTTCAGTTTTTTGATTTCCCAATTTTTGGATATTTCGTTCAGTTTTGTGGTTTGTTTTTCGAGTCTTCAATTTTTCTTGTGTTTTTCAATTTTTCGATATTTAAGTTTTGCGATTTTTTTACTACTAGGACTTTTCGATTTTTTGATTTCTCGACTTTTTGTCGTTTTTTAAACTTTACATTTTTCAATTTTTCGACTGTTTTATAATAATTCGATTTCTCAATTTTTCAAATTTTCGATATTTTAATTTTTAATTTTTGAAATTGTACATTTTTCGATTTCTCGAGTTTTCAGTTCTTCTATATTTTAATTTTTCAATATTGCTAATTTTTAAATTTTCGATTTTTCAATTTTTTGATATCTCAATTTATCGAGATTCGTATGTTTCGATATTTTGATTGTTCAATCTCTCGATTTATCAATTTTTTTATCTTTAACTGTTAAATTTTTCGATTTTTGGCTTATTTCGGTTTCTCAATTTTTCAATTTTTCGACTTTTCGACTCTTTGATTTCCCCTTGTTTTGATTTTTCGATTTCTCGATGTCTCAGTTTTTGAATTTTTCTGATGTTTCGATTTTACGATGTTGATTTTTCACTTTTTCGATTTTTAAATTTTAGATTTTCGAATTTTTATTTTTTTAATTTTTTGATGTTTGGATTTCTCCATTTTTCAATTTTACGATATTTTATTTATTCACTGTTTCAAATTTTAGATTTTTCAGTTCTTCAATATTTTTTAATTTTTCAAATTTTGACGTTTCTTAATGTTTATTTTTCCGATTTCTTAATTAATCTATTTTTTGGTTTTCCCATTTCTCGACTTTCCAAAGTGTCAATCTTTCTGTTCTTCAATTTTTCGATTTTTCAGGTTTTTGATTTTTCAATTTTTCGAATTTTTAAAGTTTGCGATTTCGACTTTACTTTTTCGACTTTTCGATTTCTTGTTGTTTTGATTTTTCGATTTCTCAATGTCTCAGTTTTTGAATTTTTCTGATGTTTCGACTTTACGATGTTGATTTTTCACTTTTTCGATTTTTAAATTTTAGATTTTCGAATTTTTATTTTTTTGGTTTTTTGATGTTTGGATTTTTCCATTTTTCAATTTTACGATATTTTATTGTTTCAAATTTTAGATTTTGCAGTTCTTCAATTTTTCGATTTTTCAGGTTTTGATTTTTCAATTTTTCGTTTTTTTAAGTTTGCGATTTTTCGACTTTATTTTTTTTACTTTTCTTTCTCAATTTTTTATTTTTTGAATTCCTCAATTTTTGGATATTTCGTTCAATTTTGTGATTTTTCAGTTTTTCGATTACATTTTTCTTGTATTTTTCAATTTTTCGAGTTCTGGATTTTTCGATTTCTCGACTTTTCAATTTTTCGACTGTTTTATACTTCGATTCCTCAATTTTTCAACTTTTCGATGTTTTAACTTTTCAGTTTTCAGTTTTTCTATATTTCAATTTGTCAATTTACGGAATTTTTAAATTCTCGTTTTTCCAATTTTTTTTAATTCTTCAATTTTTCGGTTTTTCGGTTACTGAGAGCTTTATATCGCGTTATTGCTACAAGTAAAAAATAACTACCAAAATTGTGACTTAAAAAATGAAAAAATTAATACAAAATAGAACACAATGCTTCTAAAACATAAAAACAACTGCACTTTCCCGAAAAAAACATTGTTATTATCAAACACAATTAAAGAATTAATTCTTAGTTAAACAAAAAAATAGTTGCTTGTCAAAATCGAGTGAAACATGTGAGATGTGTTAGAGTCGACATTGGCTTGAGCTCGCTGCGGTCTGTGGATCAAACAAGTTCTCAGGCGACGTAGTGTCTTTTCTTATAATAATTTAAAGTCTTATCTTACATCATAAAGAATGTTTTTGTTTTTTCGGACTTCCGAAACCCCCGTACATAACGCATTGAAGACACTCTGTATATGCATTTCTAGTCATTATTTTGCGCTTGACTTTGTTTCTGTCGCGTTAAAAACTATTTTCGAACACTTTTTGCTAATAATTTTTTACTTTATTTATCAGTTTTGGTACGAATAAATGAATCAGTTTTTTGTAAAATCAGTTCGTCGCAAATACGTATTGACTTGTCAAATCGTAAGTCATTCATCATCATCATTTTCAGCGATTGATGTCAAGGAGTTGTGCAACCGATAAGTTTTTATTTTAACAGGATACAGAAAATCTATTTTCGCCTCCTCCAACACTGGCATAATAAAAATTTAATAAAACAAGCGCAGGTCGCATATACAAATTTATTTTGGGCAAGTAATAAATTTCGTTCCTGAATCAGGTTTAAATAAATATTTATTACAATGATATAATAATAATCGTTCTGCGAGTCGCAGATTATCGTATTTTTATGGCGATAAACGGGAAAAAAATTCAATCGATCGCGTTATTACATCTTATCAGATAGGTATCTTTATCTCCCCCCCGTTAGCCACTTTTATTTGGATAATACAATAAATATACAGTAGTTATCACCTTACCACAGTACGGGCATAAGATTTAATTTCGCATAAATACAAACAGAAAATCTGTACTGTTTGTATTAGCAAAACGACGTCGACAGATTAGATTAAGAATTAGTTTAATTGTAACCGGCAAGGTGTTCGAAGCAACCGAATAACCAATCGAAAGGTAGCCGTCAGTATTTTTTATCGCGAAATAGTGTTATAAAATCAAATAGGGTAATGTAAATACACATAAAGTCTACTGGTGTTTTACTCAGAAAATATTCGTTGAATAAAAGCATGCCGGAGTATTTGTTGTGACGTTTTCGTAAATGTTTGGATTGTCTGATCGAACACAGACTTGAAGATTTAAAATAAATCGATTATTTTCCTCTTAAAACAGACTCTAGTTAGTTTGTTGTATAGTTACAAAGCTGAAAAGAAGATTTATATCGACCATAAAAGCGTGCTGTTTGTTTAGCTGGCTATGAAAATATGATCACTTTTGTTTATTGCTACATTTGTTTGTTAATTGTTTGTTGCCAGACGACCAGGATCGAGAGCGAAGGTGAGTACTTTCGATTTTGCACCCGTGCATCAATTTTAATCCACTTCTTCAATCTTATCGTTTTAACTGCCGTGATTGATCGATTATAACTTTGTTCAATGTTACAATGTGCCCATCAATTATTTTTTAATATCACGTGTTCGGCGATCTCGGAAATCGTACTTTTATTAGACTTAAATACGTCAATAACTCGGATTGTTTTCTTTGAAAAATCACTGCACTGATATGCAATTAATTATGCACACTTCGGTCGACACATCAAAACGATAACCCTTTTAGCCTTTAGTCGTTTGACTCTAATAACAGGAATTTTGTATTTTTCTAGAAAATTACATCAACAATGACTCTCCCGATACTTTGCCAAAAGTCAAACTTTTGCATCACAAAGTGGGGTCAGATGTCTTAATGAAATGTAATAGCAACAATAACAACCACAACAAGGACAATATTACCTGGGATTTTAAGGTGAGCGTTATTAAAATATTTTTTACATGATTAAACATTAAAATTCGTGTAAAACCCGAAATCAATAATTTTCTGAGAAAAATGCCACAACAGATCTATATCTTTCTAAAAATACACGTGTTTATTAGGTTTAATCTTCAATATTTACTTTTTCTAAGTTGTGTCGTCATCGCATTTTGGTCGTGTAAATACTGTTTTTGCGCTGATAAAAAAAAACTAAAACGCGTTTACAATTTTCAACTTTTATAGACTCTCATTTTGTAAAAAACATACTTGTGGTTTATGAATCCGTCTTGATTGCGACTTTTTTAGCCTTGCGATAGCAACTACAAAGGAATCCATTGTGAAGGCAAAAACATGTACCAACTAGACTACAGCGAAGGCCAGTGGAAAAAACTCGACTACAATCGAAAACGCAAGAAATTGGAAATAAAAAACGCTACTGCAGAAAACATTGGTCTCTACAGGTGCCTTTATAACGAAACAATAATAAAAATTTATATTGTGGATCTCGTCGGTAACTATCCTCATTCTGTTTTTACTCAATTAGTCCGTCTTTCAGTTTCAGCTAAGTACGCTGGAACCAAACCTGAGGTTCTTTCGGTGATGGCGTCGCCGAATTCAACCATAGTACCGACTTCACAGGTGGTAATTCAGTGTAAAGTGAAAAGTGAGATACCCCCGGAAATAAGATGGTTCAAAGAGTGTACTACACGGAGTTGTGAAGACTTTTCGAGGTTGCGATACGACGGCAGTTGCTATTGTAGTCTAGATACATCGAATCCCGGGGCTTATCCCAGAGGCGATAGTAACATTTACATGAGCAAACTTTTTATCCCCAACTCGAGTAACGGTGATAGCGGGACGTACGTTTGTGTTGTGATCACCGTGTATGGTGAAAATCACAAAAATGTTACTATTAAAGTGGGTGATATGAACGATAATGTCAATAATAGTGGAAACTCAATTAATTCGTTTCGGTTGTTGTTCCTAATACCGTTGTTTTTCGTGCTTGTGCCTGTTACTATATGGTTGGGGTTTTACAGAAGGAAAAAGAAAAGTCGGCGACAGCTCCATGAGCATCAGAAGCATCAGCTTATTCAACCCGTTATTGAGCTTTGAAGCCGTTTGATTATCTCATGTAAAGTGACTGTTATTTGTGATACTTTCTTTTAATAATTAAAAAAAAAAAAACAATTTGTGTTTTCATTTAAATTCGTTTCCCGCCGGTGACAAGTTGGTACCGCTCCTGTCACTCCTAGTGACAACGCAAAAATCCCCACTTTTATCATCGTTTCTTGCAAAATCCAAAATTATAAATCGTTATTAATTTAAATTTTGCAAGTCATTTATCATTCGTTTGTGTTGTTCACCATGGCCGGATTGTTTAGCACAATTATTAGAAAAGTACACCCGGTAAGCAAAAAGTGAGGTTATGTCATTACGATTAATTTCCAGAGCCCGCAATTTTTGCAACTAGCGGCCCCTTCCATCACAAAAACCACCAGGCGAGCATTGTCACTCGGTGAGTTAATTATACGTCAAGGTATTCTCTAATTTTTTTTTCGCAGCACCCACTTTATGCGCCCCCCGAGTGCAGCAGCCCGCCCCCAATTTCAAAGGTACAGCGGTCCTAAACGACTCCTTCAAAGAGATTCAATTAAGCGATTACAAAGGAAAATACGTAGTTTTGGTGTTTTACCCTCTTGATTTGTAAGTTGTTAGATTTGGTGATAACCTTGTGACTTTAATTTGTAGTACGTTTGTGTGTCCCACTGAATTAATAGCGTTGGATGAGCGTTACGACGATTTTAAAAAATTGAATGCTGAGGTGATTGGGTGTTCTATTGATTCGCATTTTTCTCACTTGGGGTGGATGAATACGAAAAGAGCTGTCAGTAATTACTAACTTTATTATGAGGTTGTGTAAGTATTAAATATTGTTGTAGGAAGGGGGTTTGGGTAAATTGAGGTACCCTCTGCTTTCTGACATTCATAAAACGATATCCCGTGACTATGAGGTATTATTAGAAAACGAAGGAGTTGCTTTAAGGGGGCTTTTTATTATTGATCCTAAAGGTATTCTAAGACAGATAACTGTCAATGATTTACCAATTGGGCGCTCTGTTGATGAGACTCTTAGATTAATTGAAGCTATACAGTTTGTTGAAAAGCATGGAGAAGGTAATTTTTATTATTTGTGTTTGTTGTAGTATAACATTTTTTTTTTAGTGTGTCCGGCTAATTGGCAGAAGGGGAGTAAAACAATAAAGCCTGATCCTAAAGGATCAAAGGAATATTTTTCAGCAGTGAATAAGTAGATTTTTGGTAATGAAAGGTTGTAAATTAAGATAATGTTTAATAAAGTGTACATAAGTTTAGTGTCATATGTGGTGCGCACCCGTGATGTATATTTTACATCATTTTAATATCCTTATAGATAAGAAGAAGTATTTTGTTTATGTTGGAGCGTACAGAGGTCTAATTTTAAAGTTCAAGCCGCCATACAGTACTTACTGATTTATATGATTTGATATTTTTATTTGATGTAGATGAAGTAAAACCCATGGTGGAAAGTAATGGTAGCTACAAACTGTAACAGTTTTAAAACAAAATTGCAATAACGTTAGCTACGTTACAAAATAATATATATTATAGTTGCAAACCACTTATGGCCACGTTGTTTTGTGGTTATATAAAAAAATGTATAACAATATTTGTTGCTGTAATATGAGAGTGTTATTTTATATGTCCAAATCTACGACCTAGAATTTTTTGTGAATTTATAAGCAACTTTTCAAATTCATTTTTTCAATCGTCATCAAATTTTCGACATTTTTTCGACCACTTTCCACAGTTACCACAGAAATTTTTGTAGATTTTGACTTCCAAAAATTTCTAACAATTTCAGGATCACCCAGAACATTGAGATCTTTTTCCTAGATTTTTTGTGGCTTTTCAGGCAACTTTTCCCAAAAGCTCAATTTTCAATTTGTGAAAATTTCGATCTATTTTTGACCATTTTCGAAAATTGACTAAAGAAATTTTTTTGTAGGTACATTTCGACTTCCAGAACCTATTTTCAGCCTCATTTCTTCGAAAACTACTACCATTTTTACAGAATCTCTCAATGAACTATTGAAATTTTTTGGATTTTTTGAATAAATTTACTTTCAAATCGGATTTTTCTAAAATCTTGTCCTGGGTATATGAACACGCTATATTTTTTTATTCAAAACGTCGATACCTATATCGTAGAATTTTTGTGGGTTTTTAGGCAATTTTTCAAGAACCTTAATATTTTTCAATAGTCTCCCTTTTCAAACTTTTGACATTTTTTGGACCATTTTCGAAAATAAACTAAAGACTTTTTTTTACATTTCGAGCACTAGAAGTTATTTTCAACCTCATTTCTTCGAAAACTCCTACCATTTTTCCAGAATCCTGCTCCGGGTCCATAAACCAAATATTTTTTTATTAAGAACGTTAGGATCTAGTTATTTCCTAGTTTTTTTGTGGATTTTTAGGCAAGTTTTCACAAAAGCTCAATTTTTTAATGTTCTCTCCTTGTGAAAATTTCGATCTATTTGTGACCATTTTCGAGAATGAATTATAGAAATTATTTATATATTTCGATGTTCAGAAGTTACCTTAATCCCATTTCTTCAAAAACTGTTACCATTTTTCCAGAATCTTGCAATGAACTGTTGAAATTTTTACGATTTTTTGAAAAATATCACTTTTAAATCAGATTTTTCTAAAGTCTTGTTCCAAGTCCATAAACCCGCTATATTTGTCGATTCAAAACGTTAAGATCTATTTCCTAGAATTTTTTATGGATTTTTAGTCAACTTTTCCAAAAGCTCAAAAATTTTCAAAATTTCCATGTTTTTTCAACCGTTGTCGAAAATTAACTGAAGAGATTTTTCTGTATATTTCGACCTCCAGAAGTTATTTCCAATCTCATTTCTTCGAAATCTGCTGCTATTTTCCCAGAATCTGTCAATAAAGTTCAATAAACTGTTGGAATTGTTAGGATTTTTCTAAAAAAATTGACAGTTTTTTTATATTTTCTCCTTGTGAAAATTTCGATCTATTTTTGACCATTTTCAAGAAAGAACTATAGAGATTTTCTATATATTTCGATGTTCAGAAGTTACTTTCAACCCCAGTTTTTCAAAAACTGCTATCATTTTTCCAGAATCTTTCAATGAACTATTGAAATGTCTACGATTTTTTGAAAAAAATCATTTTTAAATCTGTTTTTCTAAAATCTTGCTCTAGGTCCGTAAACCCGCTATATTTTTCAATTCAAAACGTTAAGATCTGTTTCGAAGAATTTTTTGTGGATTTTTAGGCAAATTTTCCAAACGCTCAATATTATTCAAAATTTCGATGTTTTTTCAACCGTTGTCGAAAAATTAACTGAAGAGATTTTTTTGGTATATTTCAACCTCCAGAAGTTATTTTCAATCCCATTTCTTCGAAAACTGCTACCATTTTTCCAGAATCTGTCAAAGTTCAATAAACTATTGGAATTGTTAGGATTTCTCTAAAAAAATTGATATTTAAATCGGATTGTTCTAAAACCTTGCTCAGGGTCCATAAACATGCTATATTTTTTAATTAAGAACGTTAGGATCTATTTTCTAGTTTTTTTTGTGGATTTTTAGGCAAATTTTCACAAAAGCTCAGTTTTTTAATACTTTCTCCTTGTGAAAATTTCAATCTATTTTCGACCATTTTCGAGAATAAACTATAGAGATTTTTTATATAATTCAATGTTCAGAAGTTATTTTCAACCCTAGTTTTTCAAAAACTGTTGCCATTTTTCCAGAATCTTTCAATGAACTATTGAAATGTTCACGATTTTTTGAAAAAAATCACTTTTAAATAAAATTTTTCTAAAATCTTGCTCCAGGTCCTTAAACTCGCTGTATATTTCAATTCAAAACGGTAACATTTATTTCGTAGAATTTTTTGTGGATTTTTAGGCAACTTTTCCAAAAGCTCAATATTTTGAGCTTTTGTTGTATATTTCGACCTGCAGAAGTTATTTGCAATCTCATTGCTTCAAAAACTGTTACCATTTTCCATTTTTACAGAATCTCCCAATGAATTATTGAAATTCTTACGATTTTTTTTTTAAATTCAATTTTAAATCGTTTTTTCGACCATTTTCAAGAATTGACTAGAGAGATTTTTTTATATATTTCGACCTCCAGAAGTTGTTTTCGGGCTGATTTCTTCAAAAACTGTTACCATTTTTCCAGAATGTCTCGATGGACAATTTAAATTTTTTGGATTTTTTGAAAATATTGACATTTAAACCGGATTTTTCTAAAATTTTGCTCCGGGTTCATACACCAACCATATTTTCCGATTGAGATCTATTTCTTAGAATTTTTATGGAGTTTTAGGCAACTTTTCCAAAAGTTCAATATTTTGCAAAATTCTCCCCTTTTAAAATTTCGACGTTTTTTGGATCATTGTCGAAAATTAAGTACAGAGATTTTTTGTATATATCGACCTCCAGAACCCATTTTCAACATCATTTCTTCGAAAAATGCTACCATTTTTCCAAAATCTCTCAATAAACTATTGGAATTTTTAGGATTTTTGGATAAAATTGATTTTCAAACCGAATATTTCTAAAATTTTGTTCCAAGTACATAAACCTGCTACATTTTTTGATTTAGAACGTTGAGATCTATTTCCTAGAATTCTTTATGGATTTTTAGGTAACTTTTCCTAAAAGCTCAATTTTTCAATGCTCTTCCTTTGTGAAAATTTCGATCTATTTTTGACCATTTTCAATATTTACTACAGAGGCTTTTTAAATATTTCGACCTCTAGAAGTTTTTTTCGACCTCATGTCTTGGAAAACTGGTACTATTTTTCCAGAATCTCTCAATGAACTATTGAAATGTTTTGGATTTTTTGAAAAAAATGACATTTAAACCGGGTTTTTCTGAAATTTTGCTCCAGATCCATAAACCTGCTATATTTTTCGATTCGGAACGTTGAGATCTATTTTCGAAATTTTTTTTGTAAATTTTTAGATAATTTTTCTCAAAGTTCAATCTTTCAAAATTTTTGAAAATTTCGTCTATTTTAGAGAATTAACGAAACATATTTTTTCGTATATTTTGATCTTCAGAGGGGGCTTTCGATCTCATTTCTTCGAAAATTTCTGCCATTTCTACAGAATCGCTCAGTTTGGAATAAAAAATATTGCAGTTTTTAGGATTTAAAAAAAATGACTTTCAAACCGGATTTTTCTAAAATCTTGCTCCGGGTACATGAACATGCCTTATTTTTCAATTCAGAAGTTTGAGATCAATATCCTAGAATTTTTTGTGAATTTTTAGGCAACTTTTCCAAAAGCTTAATTTATCTATACTTATGAAAATTTTGATTTTTTTTGACGATTTTCGAAAATTAACTAAAGATTTTTTTTACTTGCAGCTCCATTTCTGTGAAAACTCTGATTGTTTTTCCAGAATCTTTCAGTCAACTGTTGAAATTTTTTGAATTTTTTGAAAACAATGGTTTCAAAACGGATTTTTCTAAAATGTATATGAACACGCTATATTTTTCGATTCAGACAGAACGTTGAGAACAATGTCTTATACATTTTTTTTTGTGGATTTTTACGCAACTTTTCCAAAAACTCAATATTTTTCAATATTCTCCACTTTCAAATTCAACCAATGTGGAAAATTAACTAGAGATTTTTTTGTATACTTATTTCGACCCCCAGAACTTATTTTCAAACTCATTTCTTCGAAAACTCCTACCATTTTTTCTGAATTTTTCAATAAACTGTTGGGAATATTAATTTCTAAAATCTTGACATTGAGATTTATTTCCTAGAATTTTTTTGTAGATGTTTAGGCAGCTTTTCCAAAAGCTCAATTTTTTTAGAAGTTTTTAAAAACGTTGACTTCCAAACCGAATATTTCTAAAATCTTGATCCGAATCCATAAACAACATTCTTCAATTCAGAACGTTGAGACCTATATCCTAGAATTTTTCGTGGATTTTTAGGCTACTTTTCGGGAAGCTTAATTTTTCAGTATTAGATTTTGACTTGATACCTTAGAAAATTAACAAAACAGATATTTTTGTATATTTTGACCTCGAGAAGTCAAGTTCGGCTTCATTTCTTCAAAAACTCCTACTGTTTTTCGAGAATCGTTCAATTTGCAATAAAAAAGTTGCAGTTTTTAGGATGTCAAAAAAATTTAATTTCAAATCAAATATTTCTTTGGGACAATAAATACCCTCTCTATACCACATTTATTTACTCATATTCATTTTTCGTCACTTTAAATTAATGACTGCGGTGTCTAAACCCAAATTTATCCGATTTTGTTTT